TTGTACGAACCTTTTTTTATTTGGACATAAAAGTTGTACGTGCAACATATAAACGAAATATAACCAAAACACGTGAATTTTGGAGGCCAGTCCAGTCCAAACTGTTCAAAAAACGTTCAAACCAAAATACTAGACTGGACCACACGGTTTGACTATTTTTTTAGACTAGGACACTCATATCAGGAAAAAAAAAACAATTCAGTTTAACTTGGTTCGATTGGTTTGAACGACCCAACAGTTTTTTAACACCCTTAAAAAACAATGCATAATTTTAGCTTTTCCAGCTTTAACAGAAATCCCTGTAACATTTCTCAAAATAAATAAAATATTAAGTACGATAAATTTTTCTCTTTATTTATATAAAGAAACTAATTGCACCCCTATACATTATTAAATACATCTTTACCTGGTATTTTTCTTTTTACATATATCAACATCAAAATTCATTTTTTACATTTTTAAATTATTAATTTATAAAAAGTTTAATTTATTAATTGAAAGATTGTTGAGTTTTAAGTGTATTCAAGTATTTAATAATATAATTAATTTTAGAATTTAAAATAAAAGAAACTGTAGAATTTGAACAAAAAGTTGACTACTGATAATTTCAACTGGTTTCATACGAAATCTGCCTGTAAGAAGACCAATTTGAGAGGTCATTTTTTCGCCTACTCAACGACTGAAGTTAGCAGGGAACTTGTGATCAAACCCAAGACTTGTCTTGTATTTGGATAAAATTATCTCATCTTTTTTCTAACTAAACTATACACTAGAAGCAGAGAACGTGGAAATTGAATCCATTATGTGAGCCGACTAATCACAGGGTAACCACCCGCTTCGCTAGCAAAAATAGTATTTTTCAGTTTCATTTTTTTTTTGGATTAACCTGGAAATTTAATCCGCTATGCGAGCAGACTAATCCCAAGGTGACCACCCGCTTCGCGAGTATCTCAAAGTCATTGCATTTGAACATCCGTGGCCACAAAATGATTTTTATTCTTCTTTGGATTTGATCCTAGGACCTCCAGACACTTTTGACATTTGGAGGCCAAGTTCTGACCAATCGGATACCACCCTTGTGGTTACATTATTCACTCTATTACTAAATAGTAAATTTTTTTTACTTACTAATTAAAAATGTAATAATATATATTTATATGATTATGTGTCTTTTTCATCTTGAACATTTATATTGAGACATAGATAATATTACTCGTAGGAGAGAGAATGTAAAATAATATGAATTATTATAGTTATAAAAAGTATTAAATTTTTTATTGAATATTAAATTGTATTAAATTTTTTGATAACATAATTAATGTTACAATCGTTAAAATTGAAAATTTATATTAATATAATATATTTATTTTGAAAATATTGACTTTTTTTTTTCATTTTGAAGAAATTAGGGGAAAAGGTTGAAATGACATGAAAGACCTTCTTTTTAATTATTCTTTGAAAACATTAATTCTTCATTAATTAAGAAGGAAAAAAATGCAATTTCTTTTTGATACATAAATATTGATTTTTATAAAAAAAAATAATTTTATTTATGATTTATAAGTTTTTACATCTCGTTATATCTATACTCCTAACAAATAAGTAACATCGAGGACCAAGGACGGACCCACAAATTTTTTCAAACGGTGACACCATATAATTAATATAGTATAATATACATCTAAAAATAATTATAAAAAATATGTTTTTTATAGTACCGATAGGGCTGTAAACGAACCGAACGTTCAGCGAACTGCTCGTGAACCGTTCGGCGGGAAGTTCGTTTATCTAATAAATGAACGAACATGAACTATTTTTTTTGTTCGTTTAGTTAAACGAATGAATATGAACAAGAGTCTCGTTCGTTTATTTACCGTTCGTTTATGTTCGTTTATATATTAAGTTTAATATATTATCTTTTATTTATTTACTTTGAATTCAAATAATATTTATTTATGTTCGGTTAGGCCGTTCGTTTATGTTCATTCGTTTAACATGTTTACAAACGAACATAAACGAACACGAACACACCTAATTTCTAAACGAACGAACACGAACACAAATATTTTCGTTCGTTTACCGTTCGTGTTCGGTTAAGTTAAACGAACGAACATGAACAAGCCTCCGTTCGTATTCGTTCGATCCGTTTACAGCCCCAAGTACCGATAAACAACTCCTAAACTTGTACCCGACGCGTTTTCATCTTTTGAAAACGGTCAATATATACCCAAAAATAATTACATAAAGTATGGTTTTGGTTATTTGGGCTTTGTTTTGTTTGGGTTTTAGTTGCATCATTTGGATTTCAGGAAAATACGGTAGCACCTTCTAAAACGATACGGTAGCACCGTTAACAAACCTAAATTTTTTACCCTTCGGCGGCGAAATAATACGGTGACACGTGCCACCCTTGCCACCATATCAGGTCCGCCCATGTTGAGGACACGTGTCATGTTTTTGTGTGACGGTTATTGATTTTTCCCGCCTAAACATGTATTTAGACACAATTTTCACTTACGGTTCAAATAGGTCTATTTAAGTGACATGTGTCCCTCTACACGTTTATTTTCCTTTTTTCGTGATTTATCTGATTTCCCAGACTAAATAGAAATCTCTGATATGTTTTCTATAGTTTTAAATATGGAGAAGAGGACTAAGATATTCATCTCCCAGACTAATTTGAGGTCTTGCGGGAAAGTCTGAACCATGTGCACATTCCATGGGAGTATGAGAATAAGAAGCTCTGCATATACTACGCAGAGGCTCTGTGTCTGATGCAGAGCCTCTTAGTCTGGAGTGAAGCTCTGCATCAAGCATTTAACCTTTTTGGCGCTCAAGCCTTGATCTTCCTTGGAATACAGCACGTGCTCTGTATATGAGACACCTAAATCTTGAGTAAAGTTCTCTCTCTTGATGTCTTCTGCATGAGAGTTGTAAGTCTGAATTTAACTCTGAAGTGGCCTCCAGACTTATAACATAACTCTAAAAAATTCAGAGTTGTAAGTCTGAATTTAACTCTGAAATGGTCATCAAAACTGGGTTCAAAATTTCAAATTAAGATTTTGAAGCATTTTCGACCCCAGCCAGGGGATCTCCCCCTTGGACCCCGCCACCGGAGGCGTTGCCCCCGGACCCCCGTCGTTTAGGGGTTTCGCCCCTAAATCAAACTAAACTCAAACATGACTCTAAAATCATCAGATATTTGTTATTTCTCAGACTTACAACATAACTCTTAATTATTCCATTTCAAACTTAGTTCTATAGTTTGGGGACATTTGTCATGTTTTTGAGTTATAAAAAGTCAAAATTCTTGTGACTCAGAGTTATGCTCATAGATAATTTCTAGACTTAGAAGACAACTCTGAATTCCTCTTATTCAGATTTTAGTCCAGAGTTATTTTCCAGCCTAACAATAAAACTCTGATTTTTTGTGTTTCAGAGTTAATGTTCAGAGTTTTCTTTTATACCTGAAGAAAAGTCTCAACTCATTTTCCTCATTTAAAATGCCCCGTGTAATACACGGGGTCAAACCTAGTTATACAAATAAATGAGTAAGAGGTCTTCTACAAATTGTTTATTGAGTAAACATTTATCAGTAAAAATTATCATTCTCACTTATTTGTTGGTAACATTGTTGGCATCAAAATGATTGGTTATAAACGTCTTTTACCATATAAGCATTAACCTGGTAACAATTTTCTCTCTCACGTAGCATGTGAGAATCTCAATTGTTGTGATGCCTTTTACCAAATAAAGCTTTCAATCTTTGTCATTCTTACCTAAATAACCCAATAAACACTTAGGGGCCATTTATCAAAAGCTTATCCCAGTAAGTGCTTCTTGCTTCCTGGTAAAATTCAATGCTATCACTTACTTACCGGGTAAGGTTTTAGTCTATCAAAACAGTATTGTATGCAACAATTTACGAGTAAGCATTAACCATAGTAAGAGTCGTTGTCATCACTTGCCGGGTAAGACTCTTGGTCCTTGATTTCGCTCTTACCGGGTAATATTCTTGATTCTTGCCATATTTATTTAAGGTAATGTGATTTCATAAGCGCTTACACAAGTAAGCGTTTGGTAAATGACCCCTTACTCACTAAACGTCATGTAAACCACCACAAAGGTTGTTTGGTTGGCTTTTTTTTTTTGTATCAAGAATTGTATGAATTAAGCCATTCGTATGTATTAACTTGTTTGTTGTTCGCAAGAGTTTTTTTATAGATGAAGAAACGTGTTTTTTTAGTTGGGGCATGTTCACAAATAACTTGACTTTCGGCAGATAAATTATCCTTAAAAGTTTACGGAATAAACCACTTTTTATATTATTAAATCACTACTAAACAATCACATATAATTGATCTTCATTAAACTCATCCAAAAAAACCAGATATTTTTAAGTATACTATAAGGGTACTCACGCAATGCAGCGAAATATATATCGATTTTGATGTTTTGTTTTATTCTGTCTAAGTAGATGCTATAATACTGTTTATGTAGTTTTAAGAAATGAATAAATTTTTTATTTTTTGAATAAAATATAAATTTGAAGATATTATAAAATTTTGAAAAATAAATATATTAATATTAATATCAAATTAACTATTTATAAGTTCTTGTTTTATGTGTAATTTCTTTAATTCAATTTTTTTATTATAATTTAATTTAAATTTAATGACAAAGTAATTTATTTTTAAATTAATAATATAATTTTTTATAAAGATAATATTTAATATTTTATTAGAATTCAATTATTATCCTAAATATATTTTAGATTTTTAATGAAATACTTATCAAATATTTGATTATGTTTATATACAGTTAATTACATGAATTCAAATAAATTATTTATAATCTTGAATTTTAAGTAAACAATACTTTATGTATAAAAAAATAATTGTTAAATTATAATAAAGTGTTTTGATGGTTTAAAATGATTGTAGATCCAATTTTGTATGATAGAGGAGTAAGAGAAAGTGTAATGGTGCTTCCTTTTTAGCTTTGCGTAGTAGAAGAACGTCAACTCCAGACGCAATCTCACATTATTACATGAGAACAATCTTTCTTACATGGTGGGATTCCTTCTTTCTTTCTCGATCTCAAAACCCTAATCAGTCTCCCCTCTCAAATTGCTGCTGGCTATGGAGAGATCTACTACTCAACACTTGAACAACATCATTGGAGGAGGTTCCTTATCAGCTCATCTGATTTCTCCCTCTTTTTACATGAATATTCCTTCTACATCTGTACTGCGTTTTCCTTATTTATGTTGATTGTTTTCGATGCTTGCTCTTTGATTGTGCTTAATTTGATGATGTTCCTTTCGATACACTTCTGGTTTCAATAGAATTTAATCCTTTTGAATTCGCGTAGCATGAGATCTCCCAAGAACATTTATGTTGGGTTGCAGAGGTTACTACTCCCCCACTTTCGAGAAATTCCACTTTGACTTTCGGATGTCAAATGGGTTGGGTTTTAACTTCAAGATTTGTGATAATTGTTTTGGTTTATGTAAAAAGGGAATTAGGATAAAAAAGCTGTGGAGCTAAGAAACGAGATCATCCATTAGATTTAAATTAACAAAATGGACATAAATCCTAATCATGATAGAGGGAGGAGCTTGATTAATATGTGCGTGAACTGTTTTTCTTTTGATTCCATGGGAAATACCTGTTTTCTGCAATTCTTTATTCAAATTGTTACTTCAAAACTTGTTTAAAGATTTTCTCTTTTTGTACCTGATCTGTTTTAAATTGTAATGCAGGTGATAAAATCTTTGATGCATCACAGTATGCTTTTTTCGGTCAAGATAATTCAGAAAAGGCTGACTTTGGGTGTTTAGAAGTTGAAGAAGAAGATGATAATCCTTTAAGTGGAATTGGTGATGATGAATACCGTTTGTTTGATAGAGAAGAGGTATGTTTTTTGGGTCTACATGTGAACTAATGGTTATCGTTGCTTGTTAGTTTGTGAGGTTAAATACTTACCGAATTATTTTCCCTTAATTTTACAACTTATGGTTTTCTTTTCACTTGTTTAGTTTAGATTTTTATGCATCCAGAAAGGAAATCTTGTGGTTGATAGTTGTGTAGATGCACAAATGCATAATAACCTCTTATAGTTGTGTATCTTTTGTTTTGGGTTTATCTTTATATGTGATTTCCTTCTTTTTGTTTTCGATGAAAATGCTGGAGATGTCTTGTTGGGCATAATATAAAATGTTTGAACCATTTATATATATATATATATATATATATATATATATATATATATATATTGTAAATTGACCTCTAAAGTTGTTATACTCTCGTTTACTTCCATAAATGCTGAATTTTAAAACCGAAAATTATGTGACGATTAATGTATCTCAATTTGCTTTTGCTTACTCTGGTTCTATGTTTACTTTCTATCAACAGGAATCAGGGGTTGGGTCTCTATCAGATTTAGATGATCTGTCAACTACATTTTCAAAGGTCAGTTTCCTTCAACCACTAATTTGCTTGCAATGAATTTTCTGGTTATGGTTTGACCCTTTAGTTGAGTAATTTTTTTAAGTATATAACATTTTATGTACAACCAACCTCACACACCCTCGGCCTCCAGGGAGGTTGGGCTCTACCGGTAACCCAACGGTGTGAATTGGAATAGGGAAAATGTGTTAAAAATGTTATAAAAGCTCTAGTTGCTGAATTACTTATAACCGGGACTAGCTTCTAATGGAAATGCTGATACATGCGCTTCTATTTTATGTTTTCGGAATTGTGTTCAGTATAAGAAAAATAAATAACGTTTCTGCACGTTTTGGTTATCAGTATGATGAAAGTTAGTATACTGATTAGCTTTTTCAACCATCGTACTTGTCTCTTGTAGCAAACAAACCATTTCTTTTTGTAGCAAGTATGGTGGTTATTGGTTTTTTTTTTGCATTTAAATTTCCATACCCTTATCAAAAATTGATAATTCATCCATAGTGTAGTGTTTTTGTTTGCTTGTGCAAGGGCTTGCTTAACTTCAGTTTTCTATACAATGATATATATATAGTTTTATATCTATCTATAAACAAAAAAGATGTAAATTATCTTTTTATTTTTCATTTGTTCATTCCTGAGGAGCGGAAAAGAAAAAGCTCCGAAACATGGTCTTAGCTCAACATTGAAGTTTTTAAAACTCGTCCCAATTGATGTAAACCCCAAATTTGCTTAAGGTCAGAAGCTGAGCAAGAAGTTCAAATCTTTCTTTCTTTCTTCTTTGTTTTTCTTTTATAGATGTGTAAATGAATATTCTTTTAGTAGTTTTTGCTTTGTTCAGAGGTATCAGTTTGTTCGGTTTCGGTAAGTGCAAGGATTTATCTGTTCAAAAAGAATGTCCAGGAACTTATTCGCTCAAAATATGAAAAGCTTTGGGTTTTTTTGGACGTTTCCCATGTCATTTCAATTGTCTCTTTTCTTATTTGCCTTAATTTTGTGGAAAAGCAAGTTAATGTTGTAAGGTAAATATGTTTTCTATTTTGCAGTTAAACAGATCAGTTACCGGCCCTAGGCATCCTGGAGTTATTGGTGACCGAGGATCAGGATCAGGATCTATTTCAAGGGAAAGTGAGTACATAATACTTGACTTACTCTTTTGTTATAATCTTATGAAAGATGTTTATAAGCACTTACGTTAGTCAACTACTTTTTGGCTTACTAAGATCCTTAACAATGATCGTCTTAAAGATTTCTTGGGTTTTAACCGGAATTTTATCTTTACACAGAACATTTTCTAAAATTTTCATACATCTGCATGCACGTCACCTGTAGGTTTTTTTTCCCGTTTATGTTCTAGCCCGTTCTCTGAGGGGGTGTTTGGTACGCGGAATAGGACGTGTAGAATAAAAACCTGTTGTCCCATGTTTGGCACACCATTAAACTAGGACAGGACAGGAACTGTAATGGGACAAAAATGCATTTTTTCTGTTTCACCAAAATAGGTGGAAGATAAATTAAGGAGATGGGACAAGATTGGTAAATTACTAAACTAACCATGTCAAACTAAAACCCTAAAACCTTGCAATTCTTTCACCTGCCTACCTCAATCTTTCCCCTCCCAACCTGTACAGTCTGGTCTGCATACCAAAGCTAAAGCTCCTTTTTTTCATGGTCTTTAGCACTTTTGGCTCAACTAATCCACGTAATTCATGTGAAGTTTCTAGTTTGGCCCAACTCCTTTTTCATTTGTATAACTTTTTTTTATTGGGGTAGTTTGCTGTGTGCATGTTGATGAACTCAACTCTGGTTGTTTTTCAATTTTATGGCACCAAATTCCATTTCTGGATGCTTCAAAAGCTTTGATTCAGTTTCTAGCCACATATACATGTATGACTCTGAATGTGTGAGCGTATATATATATATATATATATATATATATGTATATATAGATGGAGGATCGTGCCAGAAGTCGGTTAATTTGCGAGAAGGGCAGGCAACATGTGATACAACACATCCAAAAGAACGCAGACAGCTTGGTCAACCAACCACATCGCAGTAAAAGTCGCCCGTGCTATGACCGGTCAACCCGATGTGTTTGTATCACATGTGACTTGCCCTTCTCGCATTTCTCACAAATTGACCGCCTTCTCGTTTGAACCCCTCTCTCTCTCTCACACATGGAGGAGTGTAAATGAAAATGCGAACCACAAATTTTTTAGAACCTCGAAACCAACTATTTCATCTATACCCTGAATATTCATGAATGTTATTCGCCATAAATATCAGCATTTTTGTCATGAATAGCATGCATTTTCGTCATGAATGATGATCAATTTTTTCATCATGAATATCTATCACCGATCATGAATAGTTGGTCCTCAAAATATTTAGGCTTCTCTTTTGAACCACCCTTATATATACTATTTGTTATTTAGTATTATTATTTTTAGGGCTCGTCATTTCCACGATTGATTAACTAAACTATTTGCAGGTTCATCTGCCTCAGAATGGTTGGATCAGCCTATCTCCGACACCGAAAGCTACCAGGGAACAAGGAGATGGTCGTCACAGCCTCATCTCTACTCGGATTCAAAGCCGTTATACAGGGCGTCATCATACCCTCAAGAACAACATCAGTTCTTCAGTGAACCCGTTTTGGTACCCGATTCATCGTTCCCTTCGTTTCCACAAACTAATCTCTCCTCTCCACGTCACCATTCGCATCTTTCGAATCTTTCTTCCGCTATCACTAATTCCCAGTTGCCGTTTTCCGATCCAAATCTTTCACCTTTATCAAACACCAATAATCTGCATTTAGGTCCCGTCCTTCATGGATCATCTCGTTATAGCGGAAGTAGGTCCCACCTAATGCCACCTGGCCTTTCTCGGTATTCTCAGGCACAGAGCAACTGGACCAACCATATGCTACATGTCGATCATGCTGGCCTATTAAGCAACACTTTTCAGCAGAAGCTGCTTCATAATGGGTCTCTTTCGCCACATTTTATGTCCCCAATCCAGCACTCGATTAGCCCTTTTGCACCACTACAGCTGTGTCCACTCCCTTCTCGGGCACTACATTTAGGTAAATATGGATTCGTTGACGTAAGAGATCAAAAACCGAAAACGACACAGAAGGGTAGTAGACACAGTGGACGTCTTTCTCGCCAGGGCTCGGATGGTAGTGGTCAGAAAAGTGATAAGTTTCGGGTTCAATTCAAATCGAAATATATGACTTCTGAAGAGATTGAATCCATTCTCAGGATGCAGCATGCTGCAACTCATAGTAACGATCCCTATATCGATGATTATTATCATCAAGCCCGTCTTGCAAAGAGTTCTGATTCAAAGACAGTAATCCGTTTCTGTCCGGCCCATCTTAAAGATTCTCCTTTTCGGTCGCGAAATAGTACAGAATCGCAACATCATGTCAATATCGATGCTAATGGAAGGATTTCGTTCTCTTTCATCCGTAGGCCACAGCCTCTCCTTGAAGTTGATCCTCCAGCTGATTCTGTTGATGGTAATTCTGAACGGAAAGCATCAGAGAAGCCTTTAGAACAAGAACCGATGCTTGCAGCTAGAATTACGATCGAAGATGGCCTTTGTCTTCTTCTCGATGTGGATGATATTGATCGTCTCCTGCAGTTTACTCAGCCTCAAGATGGCGGGTCTCAGATGAGGCAAAGGCGTCAGATTCTCTTAGAAGGCTTGGCAGCATCGCTTCAGCTCGTTGACCCACTCGGGAAAAGCTCAAACAGCTCTGTCGGGTTGACACCTAAGGACGATATTGTCTTTTTACGGTTAGTATCTCTTCCAAAGGGTCGGAAACTCATATCAAGATTCCTTGAACTTCTGTCACCAAGCAGCGAACTTGCACGAATCGTATGCATGGCCATATTCCGTCACTTACGGTTTCTATTCGGCGGCCTTCCAACCGACCACGGGGCTATGATGACCACCACTGCTCTAGTGAAAACGGTCTCCAGTTGCATCTGTGCAATGGATCTCAATTCTCTGAGCGCTTGTCTTGCGGCCGTGGTGTGTTCTTCGGAACAGCCGCCACTTCGACCACTTCGGAGCCCGGCTGGCGATGGAGCTTCAGTTATTCTGAAATCGGTTTTGGATCGAGCCACCCAATTGTTAAGTAACAGTCAAGTTTCAAGCGGAATGCAAAATCCGACACTATGGCAAGCTTCATTTGACGCGTTTTTTGGCCTGCTGACCAAATACTGCTCAAGCAAGTACGACAGTTTAGTGCAGGCGCTGTATACGGAGATCGCGGGAAGCACGGAGGTTATGGTTTCGGAGCAGGCGAGAGCAATCAGTAGGGAAATGCCGGTGGAGCTTTTGCGTGCCAGTCTTCCACATACCGATAGTAACCAGAGGAAGATGCTGGTGGATTTCTCGCAGCGCACGATGCAGGGTGGTGGGTTAAGCGGTGGTCGTAAAGGGAGCGGCGGTGCAACGGCGGCAGAGTCGGTAAGAGTGTGAGTCAGATGGTACAAAAAGGTGGTGTAGAATGAGTTTATGAATGCTGTGTGTGTGTGTGTGTTGTTTTGGTTACTTATGGTGGTGGGTGGTGGAGGATGGTGGTGGTTTGTAGGGTAGTGGGTAATGTAAGCAACTCTTGGAACCAGTATGTATAGAGAAGTAGACTCACTGACAGCTGGGAGTTGAAAGGGCTGGGGAGGCAAGTTTTTTGGCGCTCCCGGTTTCGAATCTCATATCGTTGTAACGTTCGTAACTACTTTTCGATGTTCTACTCTGCATTTTCTTTCGGTTTCCGCTTTTTTACTTGCATTATTTGTTGAGAATGTAAGAAGGAAGGTTCATACGTGAACCAACGCCACTAGGTTTGCAACTGGTAGATTTGCAATTTATCGAGGGATCAAAGTGTAAAAAAGGAAGTTTTTGAACTAGGTCCGTAAGAAACGCAATTTACAGAGGTGTTGGGACTAATTTATAGATTTGGTCCTTGTTTTAGGAGGGTTTTTTACACTTTGGCCCCTCTGCAAATTACTTATGGACCTAGTGACCTTTTTTTGGTGAATTTAGGAGAGAAATAGCTAAGAGATAAAACCAACATCTGAAAATGGCTATTTTAATTAATTTTCCAATACTAAAATTATGGGCGTTTGTTGCGGTTTGAGCATTTTCCCAAACCGCAAACCGCACTACAATTGGTGCGGTTTGTACCTATGGCATTTTATGCCTACAATCCAATTATTACAAGTTTAAAAATATATTATAAAATTAATGATAAAACTAAACTTAGTCAAAAAAACAAATTCCAATACATCCATCCGATTCCCAAAAAAATATATATAGATAGGGAGGGAGGGAGGGAGGGGAAGAGATAGAGATGATTTCATTTATAAACCCAACCATTAATACAAACTTTATAAACCAATCTCAACCTTCAACGAATATCTGATTTAATTAATATCTCATTGTTTCATAATATAAACTATTGATCATAATAAATAAACTCTAATAATCTTCAATAAATATCTAAATTATAATAAATAAATTTTCATCATTTTTTATAAATATCTCGATTAATTGGTTTATATATCTCTTGTTAATAATTGAGAATTTGTAAAAAATCTCTCAATCTCTCTACATATGTGTTTGAAAATTGAAATTAAATTAGTAAAACTACATTCATTTTTACCAATTTTTTATTTGTTTTCTATTTTTTTTTATAAATTTATGATCTAAAAGGATCTGAAAACGGGGGATTTTTGTCGGGTGAGACGGATATGGCTTCGGGGAATTACCCCGCTGTCATAGCCGTCTCGTTGTCATCCGGTCCATATGACTGTTGGAAAATATACAAAAAAAAAAAACAAAAATAGAATGTAACCAGAAGGATATTCCTTAAAAATGACAAAAATGTTGGGTATCTTGAAAAATGACATGAAATTGCTTTAGAACCTAGGTATTACAGATGAAGACCATGCATTGTTTCTTTCATCAAACCCTACAAAATCTATCATATGCTGCCTGCCTGCAAACATAAATAACCATACAGACCAAACAAATCGTAGTACTAAACTCGTATTAGCGAAATTCATCATGGTATTCGTAATCTTCGTCTTCATCCTCGTTAAAGATTGCACTATAAAATACATATGGACTATCGATCATTTCCGTCAACGATAACCGTCCATCTTTATCCGTATCAGCCTGCAAATAAACAAACCAACGATCAATATCCAATTTTTCAGATTTGCTAAAACTTGACTATTAAACTCAAACCGACCAAATCAAGTAACTATTTAAACAGGTATAAATTGGTCGTTTATCTCATTTCAACCGCTTCCTAAGTATCATAACAGTGGATAGATACCGATCAGAACCGAGTGAGAATGCAGCATAACAAGTTAATGAGCCAATCATGAAATGGTACTTTAAACCGGATCATCGAGATTCCTATTTTTGTTTCAGGAGGAGGGATCATGGGTTTCCGGGCCAGCTTAGCTCACCCCCAGGAGACCACGAATGGGCTGGAGTGGTCATCATAGGTGGACCTCCATGGCCACAAGGGATCAACGTTTCTATTGCATCAGACCATTCTCAACTCTGTAATTCCAGATACAGGTAGAAATTTCATCTACTTGCATGTTAATTGGCTTATGGAATATCATCTTCAATTCAAAAAAATCACAGGAACAGTCGTTCTACTCTTAGGGCAAAGGTCAGGTCCTGCAGTTGGGATATACAGGGCTCGTTTGGTTTATCATTTATAAAAATAAATAAAAATTGCAAAAGAGACGAGAGACTTCTACTAGAGCATGACCCCTTGCTCCTTTAGAAGTACGAAGATCCCTTAAGTCTAGTGTGATATAACTAGCTAGATTATTGAAGGTCCTCGGGAAAACAAAGAGAATGTATGATGAAGTAGTCAATTGGGCCTGATTTATAAGATTAAGAAGATATGCATGTTGTAAGAGTCAATAGATCAAACTTATTGGAAGTAAAATGAAACAATGGGAGCAAGGGATGAGACTAGGATGTCCATGAAATCAATTTGGTTTCGTGTCGGGAAGATGATATCAGATATTTTGTTTCTTGATTAGAGGACTCAGAGAAATATAGGGTCAAAAAAGATTTTGCACCAAAGGATTTATTGGCACAACGGTATCCGGGTTACTGATACATCCCAACCTTCTTGCTTGCAGGTCCAAGGGTTTCTAACCTCACCAAAGATGAAAAGTGTAAGTGTGTGTGTGTGTGTGTGTCTTTGTACATAATTATTATAGAGTAAATTACACTTTTGGTCCATATGGTTGTCACCCACTATCAACTCTCTCTCTCTTTTGAACTAATTACAGTTTTAATCATTGTGGTTGACACTTTGTTTCGCTTTTGGTCATTGTGGTTGACACTTTGTCTCGATATTGGTACCTCTGACTAACTTCTGTTAAAAAAAGGCTGTTAACTCATGGGTATGTTTGTCTTTTACTCGGCGGAACATCATCGTCTCCGGTGGAACTTTAACCTCATCCCCATCTCTCTCTTTCTCTCCTGGCCTAGATCTATTTTCCTTTTCACCCCTGCCCTTCTTCCCTCCCTCCACCTCCACCTCCACCTCCACCCACAACCTGCAACCCTCCTCCCTTACATCGACGATTATGAAACCAGAAAAGGAGGAGGCAAAGGAACCCAGATCTGGAACAGTCGATGGTCTCATCAAAATCCTAGAAGTTAGGGAGTATTGAAGGAAACTGCTCTGAATTTCACAGAGCGTTAGGGAGTATTGAAGGAAACTGCTCCGATTGCTATGGTGCTCATTAAAATTGATTGAGAGATCGAGAGAGGTAGGTATGGGATTTTGCAGGTACTGTGGAGTTTCGATATATGCAGAGGATGAGGAGGTGTTTGGTCTCTGGCGTTTACATCGACAGGGAAGGTTGAGGTCGTCGGAGATGGAGTGTAGTATCTGCGTTTATGGAAGGAAGATGGCCGGCAATGGGTTTATGACAATCACCTTCCGATTTCGGGATTGCGGGTATCACTGGAGAATACGGCAATGATGGAAGCATCAACGGAGAAGACGAGCGATGTCGTGAGGCATCACTGGAGGTATTCGGTTGTGATCGGGGGAAAGTTATTGCCGTGTAGGAGCCCTGGAGGTATTTGGTCTACTGTGTTTTATGTGCAAATATATATATATTATTGATATAATAATAATATATTTATTTACATTTCAATTGAAAATAAATAAAGAAATGATAAAAGACCACTATACCCCTAAGTTAACAGAGTCTTTTAACATAAGTTAGTTTGAGGGACCAAAAGTGAAACAAAGTGGCAACCACGGTGACCAAAACTGTAATTAGTTCAAAAGAGATGAGAGTGGGCGACAACCACAAGACCAAAAGTGTAATCTACTCATTAATATGTTTCAAAAAGAAGAATTCACTTATGATGGATCGATAGGGCACCAATAGAGAATCTACGCTCCAAATCGAGGTGTTAGTAATGCAGCAAGTAGGTAATGATAGAATCTATGCTCCAACTTGATGAATGTTAGTTATAGATTCTATCAGTTTCGATGGCCGAGAATGTTACCGATCAGGTAAGTGAGTGTGGTGACTCTTGCTGGTAAACATTTGGTAAACGGCCCCTTGGCTACAGTTATAGCTCTGTTAATCATGACCTATTATGTAATCAATATATTCATGTTTTTACATCGATAATGAACATATTACATATCATTCCAACCAATTTATGTAGGGTTGTTAACCATTCCATTATAACATTAACACATGCAAGGTCCTATATAAGCATCGCTACAAAAGTATGTTGGAGTTAGAACTTGAAACCCGAAAACCCACCAATCTTAATTGAATGGATTCATACCCATCCACCAGGAAAATATACATCAAAAGTGGAGATACCACAATTTATTGAGATATTCTGGTAGCATGATCAAATATACACATACACACATGCATATATATATATATATATATATAACCGTAAAAAATGAAAAACTGAGGAACACCCTGATAACCATTCATTTGTACAATATATACATGTGCATACAAGAAATTTGTAAGTAATTCGTTCGATATGCACATGTGCATAACATGCACAAGTGCATAGAAACCAAAAAACAACTACAATTACTTGTATGCACATGTGCATATCGTACACATGAATGGTTACCAGAGGGTGTTCCTTAGTTATTCATTTTTGGGGCGTTTTCCATTGAACCTCCCTCTCTCTCTCTCTCTCTCTCTATATATATATATATATATATATACACATGTCTATAGAGAGAGAGAGAGAGGGGTTATTTGAAATTTTTTTCACTTTAATCAGAAGGTGAGAACAAGTCTTTATATTGTGTGAAGATTGAAACTTCCACATCACCTTCAACTGTGTATTGGAATTTGGAAGGTTACATTATCTTGTGTGAATTTTGTAACCTTCACATAATATAAAGGTATATTTAAGTTCTCAATACAAACCCTCGCACAGTATAAGGATCACTTTTTCTCACGAAAAGGGGTTGTTCTCACCGAAACCTAACCCATTTTTTAAGGTTCTCCTTTGAACCTCCCTCCCTCCCTCTCTCTGTGTATGTGTGTGTGTGTATATATATATATATATATGCATACACACATAAAAGAAACCATATTTAGCCAGTTGGATATAATTGTCTATAGGATTACTGAAACTTCAAGGCCAAGCCTACATAAAAAAAATCAACCTCAAACACGGTTACCTGTGATATAATATAATCTGCCTGCTGTTTAGCATAGTAACGCTCTGATGGATGAAGCTTCCCAATTATAGGTAGCAGTTCCACATCAGACAAGTATCTACAACAGGAAAATCAAAGCCAGTTGTGTGAGCACTTTCATAAGCCTCCCAAAATCATAAAAAAGAAGTTGTTGATGTATATATGTTTAGATTTACCCGTCCCCATCTTTGTCAAGCTCAGCAAAAAAGGTCCTTGCTGGGGACTCCAATGAATCACTAGACTCGTGTGAAGAATTATGACCATCTTCATCATAGTTTCTTACCAGGTCAAATAGCCCATGGAAGAACTCTTTGAAATTTACCTTCCCATCTTTGTCTGTATCTCGTTCCCTGTAGTAAATTAAAGGACTTGATATCAGTTAACTTAGTTGAGAGCATTTGCATTCACCCATCAACAAAATGTATAACTGAAAGATGTTAGAAACTCTGGCAAATAGATAAATAAAGTACTTCCGATAAAAGATGTAGTAAGTGATTCATACCAACACACGCACACACATATATATATGTAAAATAAATTGAATAAATTAGATTTACTCTATAGAGTTAATTAATTACGTAGGCTTTTTGGAAAGATTCTCAGATTATGAAAAGTCTATTCATAATTAAGTTAATTAATTAGAAGAGAGAAATCCTCCTCTTTTTGAGATCTACGCTATCTCCAATATCCATAACTGTCTTCCCTGCAACCTATACCAATATTTAACTGTCTTTTGACAATTTCTGTCGTGGTGGCATTCATAGTTGGCATCAAATCTCTGCTATCCACAACAATATCCCACAGGATGGTAACAATCAATCACAAAAGTAGGACTAAACAAACACAGCTATCATTATATGTATGTACATGTATATAACATCACAACTAGTTCGATATTTGAAATCTGCTGAGAATTTCATGCCCTGCTGCAGCCTGCTAATATACTTTTTCTTAGAACTTATTTTCTTTGTTATCTAGCATAACAAAATCATTTGTGATATAGCGATTAGCATGTTATTGCTTTATAAAGTTCAGAAGTCAAAATAGAATGGATGGATGTTCATAGTTTGATTCTGCTGCATCAAATCTCAAACACAAATACCAAACATGTATTTGACAGTTTGGGTGTCTACTTAAGCATTTGCTTAGAAGGTGTAATTTCTAGAAGGTCCTTCAGCCTCTTAGAACTGCTTAAGCTTTAATGTTCTTTTAGATATACACATATATAGATATACATAGAAGAACTTTGACTAAGGTTTCACCTTGTAATGGGCATTTACCTTAGCAAGTGGAATGGATTGATACTTGTAAATACCAATAAACCAACCACTCGGACAGGCATAAGTGCCTACCCTCAACCTCCATTCATGGAGACAAAGTCAAGTAGCAACTAGCAAGGTATCTAGATACATATAGTCCTGTCCTATGCTCAATTGAACTGTCGGCACTAGAAGGCATTTATTGGTTATCTCGTTCTTTTATTCCAGTAATTTTGGTTATCTTTTTCTTTCTTCTTTATCATTATAATTACTACTATTTTGTAAGATTTCTTCAAATTGTTAGCAGCTAACACGAGGGAATTTTTTCAGCAGCCTTTTGCAACAGTGGGATTCCTAAACTGTAATCAAAAGGTCAAGGATTTCAAACACCAAAACAACCTCCGTGCTTGCCAAGCTCCTTCTCAAATCACACAATAATCCTCATCACTAGCCCATCATTTAAATTAGAGATTTCACAATCTTCTATAATAAGACAAATAAATTCACATCATACATTAGACGAGATGATACAATACAAAACAAAGCATGATCTGCTAATTTTCATAAACATGATGTCCCTTACAATCTCCAAACACCAAAGGTCAGAGACCAACATGTCAGCCAAATGATTCTGTTACCAATGCAATAGTGGTACTATATGTAAGTAATAAGTATCTTCAGAACTCTATCAGTGGTCTAACTTTCATCTGCATAACATCAAATTAATCACAAATGATACCTCAAAAGAGTCATCCAAGGAGGCGGGATTAGTTGTATGTAAACTTGGCAGTATCCTCCTTTTTAAATTTAATCTCCTGAAATCTTACATTCAGGCCCTTCGTTATATATACACTTGATCCCACCTCCACCCCCTCCCACTCCCCCTCTCCCAAGGAGAAACATATAAATTTATTTAATGGAGTTTAAATATGTACGATGAATGGATACATACATATATGTGTGTGCACATTCTTTTACCAACATTTGTGAGTACATGTACATGTGTGCAAATATATATGTATAAGTATGTTCGGTTTTCTAGTTTTAAGCAATAGCAAAGATGTACAAGGAAACTAATATATGAGAATCTCTTGAAAATAGCATGTCACCTTACTTCCTCCTTGCTCAGCCACTGAAGCAGTCTTGGATTTTTAGTGTCTGCAGGGTGCTGAAAGCTAGATCCCAAAAGATGGCACAAATAAATGGCTAGAACAAGGTAGAAGTCTAATAAAAAAACCAGAGACGAAGGGACAAATTTTTATACTTTGTAGAGAGAAGATAACTTACTCATTGAACTCGGTTATATTCAAAAAACCATCCTCGTCAGCATCAGATGCATTGAAATGCTCCTCTTTCCACCAACCCATATCATATCCAAATGAATTATTATCTAGTGGAACCATGGCCACAATGAGATGTAAGTGGAATATACAAATATCAAAGAACATACAGAAACTTGCTTCAAGTTGTAACGAATAAAGTACAAGACCATATTCCTGATAACAATAATTTGGTTAAGAAGATCAATAACTACTAAGCATCTGCAAACTGGTTCAAAATAACACAAACAAGGCTGGTACAGTATCCTGTAAATCATAATTTCTCTCTAGACTTAGCTGCTATCGAAGCTCCATCTACAAATGGATAAGACTTTCGTCTGATTGTATAGGAGTTTTTGAACTAAAAAAGGAGCAATAGCATCCCTCTTGATATAATAGTAAAGAGTGCAAAGATTGTAGACTTAAGTTTCACATGGCTATGGCAAAGGCACCTTGATTTAGATAATGTCATGATGTTGGATCAATGTCTCTGGTTTGTTTATCAAAAACCAAAGAAGAAGGAGATCAGAAGACTAGACTGGTCTACAAACACTGGCACCAAGATGACTTTTAACAGTCCAGCTACTTGAGCAGACCATAATTCTGCTTTGAGGCCATTGAATACAAACCTTTACAAGGATCAGAAAGAGGTATCATGCACACATTCAGTCTAGTCCATCAATCTCTAAAATACTTAACAGTTCGTGTAATAAAAGCTTTCAACTTCACACTTAAATAACAGAAAACAAACGTTTTTGGATTAAGGTAATACATGCAGACTGCTCCCAGTGTTTGACGGTTCAAGTCCATTTCTTGAAACTTAGCCTGTACAACAATTGAGTTCACACTTAGTGCACCTCTTTCTTTCTTTTTGCTCCAAAGGAAGTGGGTATGCAAACAGATACTAGAAAGCACTTAAGTCGATCACGCACAAGTCACAACTACATAATAATCCCTTGCAAATTCCAGAAAGTGAGACTCTTAATTGTTCTGAATGAATGATTACATGATAGACAAAACTCAATAGGAATATGCTAAAAGTGTTCTATATAGCAAATTCTCAGTACGCCCTAAAAATAAATCTATTATGTACTCTTCGTATAGTTGAATGTAGCAGTTATCAATAACTTCCGCACTAAGAACTTCTCATATTGAAGTTAAAACAACCAACATCAAAAGGTAGAATCAAGACTCCAAACCTGATCTTCCTAGCTACTTGGAAATGGCAAATGCAATAAAAAGGATAGTGTGGAAAAGGAAAATATTTATCCTCGCTACAAATTTCGAATCCAAAAAGGATCATTTTCTTTTAGTTAGCAATCAATTGATGTCTCTGCTTAAATTCGCATAAAAATTATTACCCGAATCACGAACCCAAGTGGGAGGCTGGTACTCAGCAAAAGAAACTAAGCCGTCGTGGTTCTTATCATGCAGTTCCATCTCCCTCTGACTGCGGTGAAGGACTTCCCTCTGCGATTGCTCCAGGTTCCATTCCGTGAGCTCGTGTTCAGTCACGAAGCCATCAGAAGGGTCGACATCAATCCTTGGGAAAAGCAAAACTAATCTATGGGTGATATTAAACTTATGTTCGTCATTCAAGTAATCTTCTGCGTCAATAAAGTCCTCCCATTCCGGCTGTGACTCCATCCCAGGAGCCGCATGTGCTTCTGGTTCCTCTTCTCCTTCATGATGATGGTCGTCAAAGAAGTGACTCTTCTCCCATAATCTGTCCTCTCTCTTGCGCTCAATGTCGGCCACCAAAGGATCGAATGAGACATGATGCTCGGCTGCGGCTGTGGTGGTGGTGGTGGGGGTGAAGGAGAAGTTTGAGCGGAGCTTCAGTCTACGGTGGCGGCGATTGTTGTTCCGGTTGTTGGATTTATTGGGGGACTGAGATATGAGAAGGAGCAGAAGCAAAGCTATTGTGATGTAGATGATGACCGACACTTTGCCCATCTCATCGGCCGTCAGGGGTGGCGATGGCGGTGGCGGTGCGAGAGAGAAATCTCTATGGAGTGGAGATCTCTGTCTCACTAGAATTTGGGGTTTAGCAGTTGAGATGGATTGTATTGAATGATTTGCAATTGAATGAATGAGAATTGGAAGATCGAAGGATCAAGATTTTGATTTTGATTTTGAAGAGAAGGTTATGTAAAACCGTGGTAGATCTGTTTCGCAGATTTCGTGATTTCATATATATATATATATATATATATATATGTATAATATAAACACATATGCTCATATGTTCCCGTTTACATTTTATAATATGTAAATTAAAAATTAAAATTTATAATTTATAAATTATAAATTAACCAATATATATTATATAACATGTATGATTATAAAAACATAATGTTATATTTATAGAGGCTTTAAACACAGAAGCCTCTATTTTTTTAGTGTTTTAATGTTGGGTTGAAGATAAAAACACTTATATTTTTGTGTTTTTAATATTGTCTTGGAGATGCCTTACGAATACAGTAGCAACAAGATGGTTGAGATACCTCAACACGGTCTATTTCTCTCGAAAGTAAACCGTGGAGTATGGCAACAATCCAGTCACAAAGTGCCTAAAATTGCCGACCGACATGTTGAACCTTAAAGAAAGTTATGCAAAAACTCGTATCTCTATGTAATTGTTGAAGATTTTCTCAAACCTCATTGCATCACTCTAGCGGTATTTCAAATTCTCCTCATCTCTAGGTTAAAGATATAATATTAACACATACAAATGGCCGGTTTGTCTGCATTGAATTAAAGTTTCAACTTGAGTGACCAAACCGAAAAGTTAGCAAAAAACGGTAACACCTAAATGTTGCATACTATCTCTTTGATTCAGCTTACACTCACACCCAAATAGGGGTTAGTTGATGCTGAAAAGGAAAGACCTAGAAAAAAAAAATACTTAAAGATAGATTGTATTAAAGTAAAGTTCGACATTGTAGCCACACTGGTTATCTCAGTGATACAAAAAATGGAAATACTGGAAAATAAATTACAACTATGGGGTTGTTTATTTACATCTTAATAGTTTCATTAAGAGACAACATCTGAATCGTTAGAGATTAATCTTGTTTGACAAGAAAAGAGTATGTCTCTTAATGGTTCTAAAACCCCCTGAATGATTTTGCATTATGGGTCTCCCTTAACCATTCAGCGCCCTAATTTCATCATAAACAATTATATTTCTTTTTGCACTATATCATGATAGCATCTTAATCATTTTGCACCAAACCATTCAGCAACTGTCTCACAACTCCTACGTTTATCTAACAAAATACAGAGATAAGTATTAAACTTCCATATTGCTAGAGATTCTCTTAAAATTAAGACCTAATGCCTCAATTTATACTTGAAGAAGGAGGAGAGATAATGTGAGGTTCACATGGGTTGAAAATGACCCCATATGGTCGTGTTCATTCTGATTACTTTTTCACTTTTTCGGTCCTCTAAATTTTCATGAATCTTCGGATTTGACCTCCTACCATGCTCTTAAACTACAACTTCCACGAATTTGGCAATAAAGTCGATGCACAAGATTTGGGACGTTATCGCTACTGATACAAATGACACATACAATAATCAAAACATACTTTTTTATCCTCAACTCCGAATAAATAAACAAATAAAAAGGGGAAACACAAATACATAAAAGGAAAACACACACTTAAAAGGGAATAAAAAGACACACTAATGAAGTAGAAATAACACTCAACATGAGAGTTATTGATTGAAAATGACTAAGGGGTTGTTTAGCAGTTGCTGAATTGTTTAGTACAGAATGATTAAGTGGTCAGAATGATTAGGAGACTCTCATGATATAATGCAAAAATAAATATAATTGTTTTGATAATTGTTTACGATGAAATTATGGCGCTGAATGGTTAAGAGAGACCCATGATACAAAATCATTCAAAGGGTTTTAAAACCATTAAGAGACAGATTTTTTTTGTCAAACAAGATTTACCTCTTAACAATTTAGATGTTGCCTCTTAATGAAACTATTAAGAGGTAAACAAACAACCCATAAGTCTCTGAATAATCTTTTTTAAATAAATCATCAAACTTTCGAAAATTGGTTACTTGCATTCTTTTAACCCCAAAAAGCTATCTGTAACCGGTTAAGAAGGTTTTAAAGTAAAAAAATGTAAATTAATTTTATTGTTCCCAAACAGTTATAGGTAATTTGGGTGCGAGAGGTTTGAATGACGTAAAGTTTGAAAACAAATGGTTTAATTACAATTGGATTATGATTATAGTCGATCTGTTCTAATCGGATCAAATGGTTTTTTATACACCCCTAACACAGATGTTGAACAATTGAACTTATTTATAAACAATTCTTCAAATAATGTTTCAGTAACTTTCAAGACCACTTCAAAATTTTCTTTCCTTTATACTTTTTCAATTAGTTTTTAACATGTCATTTTACATTATCATCCAAATTATCATCTGGTTTTTACTAACACAGTATAATGTAACTGATAAAGAGTCGATAATATAACATATATACATCGACATCATACTTTTAACTGGTTTGTCACTTGTGATCACGAACGATAAAAATATGATGACCTTGAATCACAAGTTAAGAATCTTGATTTGAAACAAATATCAGTTGACGACCATAAATTATGATTATTTCTGATAAAAGAGATTGGACGGGAAGATAAAAACTAGGACTTAGGGGCCGTTTACTAAACGCTTACTTGATAAATGCTTACTGGGTTATCGGATGAACATGACAAGAATTAAGAATCTTACCCAGTAAGAGCAATGCTAAGGACCGAGAGTCTTACCCAATAAGTGAGAGTGACGACTCTTACCTTGTAAGTGCTTACCGGATAAAATGTTACATACGACATCGTCTTAATGGACTAAAATTTACCACGTAAGTAAAGTGAAAGTACCGACTCTTGTTGATAAGCGCCGGGTAAACGGCCCCTTGATTTTAACAAGATTAGGTTCACACAATAACTGTCTGTTGGCCAAAAGACCTGAAATCTACCCAATATATGTTGAGCTATATAGACAGGTCAAAAATATCAGATACCATAAATTAAAAAAAACCAATGATCCTAACAATATATCTTAATGGGCTGGATTGATTAGGACCAGGACCACAGACCGGCCCAGTCCCTATCATCCCACCTTACATGTGGGTCTACCCATAAGACCCTGAAGATATCAGCCGGAGAAATCCCAATGGCCCCTAAGGGCTGAGGAGTCTCGAACCGACGGCCTAGGACCCTTCACAAGGATCAGGTTAAAAGGACCTTGTGCTCACTAAATGGTCAAGTCCATCTTCGTCGCGCATTTTTGCACAAATATACTTCGTTAACAAAATTTCACATTAAAAATTTTTCGAGCCACTTACAGGCTTCTATCTCGCAGTAGTCTGTCTACAAAATAAGCCTGGAGAAACAAAATCTATGGATCCCCTAATGCAGAGGCAGAGCCCTCACCTGAATCCTCTGAATCTAAATCTGAATCTGAATCACCAACCATCTTTTCTAGTGAATCCATATCGCCAGCTTCGGCAACCGTATGCAACCGAAGCTTTTCAGCATCCTCGCTGCAAAATTTCACGATCAAAAGTGGTTTAACAATGTTGTTAGCTAAGAGAACGAGTGGACCATCTTTTTGACCATTGTACTTGATGCTTTGTATCGAAAGAAAACAATCATGATGGAAGGAAAATAACCCAGGAAAACATTTTCTCATGTTTTGCAAGCACAATGTTCCTTTTTTGGTTTTTTTCCACGCATGATCGCAGTTTTACTGCAAGACGTCTAAGCCTATGTTTGGCAAACTGACTCACAAACTATTAGCTAAAAACCCATTGTCGGTTGATAAACTAGTCATGTTTGGTAAAAGCAACTCATAAGCTAGTTGAAAAATTAATTGGAAAATTATAAAGGGCATAAGTGGAAAAAAGCCCCTGGAGCTTATTGGAACGCTACTAGAGCTTATTGGAACGTTACTTGAAATAATTTTTCAATAGAACTAGCTTATAAGCAAATCCTATGGCTAACCAAACAAGGCTTTTTTAATAAGCTAACAATATAAGCTAACTTATGATTGCCTAACGTGGCCCGAGTGCAATGAGTTTTTTGAAGCAAGATGTCCAAGAACGATGATTGTTTTGATGCAAGATGTAAAGTGAGATGGTAAAGGAACGACGCTTACTCTACAACACCAAATATTTCTTTCACAATCAAGGAGCTGTCTCTTCCACAGAACTCAGGAAGCTGGTGCACATAGTAAAGTGAAGATAATCAACGACAATGAAAGTATCAACTGAAATACATAAACTGAAGGAAAACATATATAAATAAAATGTCATCATAAAGATTTGGTTATGGTCGATGCAGAAAAGATTTCGTTCAATGGGCAAACATAAATACACCTTAAGGCATACATGATGTCTATGTTACTGAAGGTACATAAGAGAGTAAGCATAATAGTTATACCATTTCCGTCCAAATACGTTATTGTACTTCCACACTTTTTGTGATTACATACCCAAACAAAAGATAAACAAATTACATACTTGTACTGTCAAATCAAACCATTAATATCATCTTCGCCCAATCTTAATCAAATTAACTTACACAAGTCCTCAAGATAAAAGGATTAGAGGAAGTATCGTTTGATGGGATAAATGCTAAATATCTTGATCATTATTGATGATTCATTTCAAGAGATTTGATTAAAGTTGGACGAAAATGATGTACTCCTTACGTCCCAAAATAAATGTCCACGCTGACAAAGACATTGTTTTAAAAATGTGTAATTATTACACTTTTAGTTAACTAAATGACAAATTTACCCTTAACAATAGAAGGAATAATGAATTTCTCCATCTTATAATTAAGAGTACAATTGAAATGAAGCACTTACTCTAGAAAGTGGACACTTATCTTGGGATAAACTAAAATAGAAATGTGTACACTTATTTTGGGATAGGGGTAGGGGTTTAACGAGTCGAGCTTTTAACGAGCTACTTGAGCTCGAGCTTAATATTTATCGAGCTCGAGTTGAGCTCCATAACACCAATGTTAGACTCGACTCGTTCGAAAGCTCGATTAAACTTTACAAGCCGAGCTGAGCCGTTCGAGCATACATTTTTTCAAGCCAAACATATTTATATGTATACAAATTTTTGTAATCAAAATATAAAAATTATCAAGCTTGAGTAAATAAACGAGTTAATCGATCTCGAATTCGAGCTCATAAATGAGCATCGAGCTCGAGCCCAAACACTTGAAAAATATTTGAGCTCAAGCTCGAGCCCAACTTTGAAAAAGTTAATCGAGCTCGAGTTTGATATTATTTTTTCGAGTTGAGCTCAAATAACCTGCTACTCGACTCGACTCGGCTCGTTTACATCCCTAAACAGAGGAGGGATAACTGATATTACTCCTTTGTCCCGAAATAACTGTCCGCAATGAACAAGGAACACAATTTAAGAAATGTGTAATTACTAACTTTTTTTAATTAATTAAATGGCAACTTTACCTTTAACAATAGAGGGAGAAATGAATTACTCCATCTAATTGAGCAATGTATGAAAGTATGATGGTGTGTATCTATATTGCCTAAAGCTCAAACACCAAGGCAAATGGTTGATGTTGGTGCCTGGTGGTACCTAGTTGGTACGATTATTTAGTATCTTGCATCTATCATTTTACTTATATACAACCAACAGAAAGTTCCCATGTCATAGATGTGTCTTTTAGAAGAAAAAAAATACCATTTTTCCAACAAAATAGTACCCCTTCGGTCCCAAAAGAAAGTGCAATTTTTGACTTGGTATGTAGTTTAACAAAAGTCTTTGACTAACAATCAAATATCTAAAATGCATTCAATAAATGAGAAAACTTGTAAGTCAAAGTCAATGTTATCGATAATGATTGCTAATGAGAAAATGTGTAAATTTGGTTGACAATCTTATTAAAAAAGAAACTTGCAATTTTTCTAGACAGTAGGTAAACTACACCATAATAACAAGGGCAAATTGCATCAAAATGTAATGAAGTTTGCCTTGATTCCTATTTAATGCAACAAAGTTTCAAAATTTCCTATATTTTACCCATTTTGACCAATAACCTGTTGATCTTGTAACATTTAATGATATGGATGTCAAGTTTATCATCCACTTCACCATAACCCTTGTGTAAATGGTATCCAGTCAAAATGGGTACAAAATAGGAAAAAATTTAAACTGTGTTACATTGATTGAGGAAAAAAATTATTTGTTACACTAGAAAAGAACTAAATCAAACTTTGTTGCATTTTGATGCATGTTCCTAATAGTTATGCCAAGAACAATGGAAACTATAGATAGAGTAATGGCAAAGACATCTAGGATGATGTTGAAGAATTTCTTCCCGCAGAAGAAAGTTCACTTAATATAGAATAACCCATGTAGAGAAAAAGCATTGGTGTTTTACCTCTGAAAGATAGAAAATCTTTCCGAAAAGAGCTTGGACAGCAAGCTTTCTCCTTAAGCCCTTTTCAGAATATCCCGACACATTCATGACAACTGGACCTGCAACATGAAAGAATCATCCTGAGCAACCAAAGAGCGCCCAACTATATGCACAGACACATCACACACCACACACCACACACCACTTTGGATAAGAATCTAAGGGGCCGTTTACTACCTGTTGACTGCCTCTTATTGGGTAAGAGGTGTTTACCCGGTAAGAAGGGATGTTGTTTACCAACACACTCCAACCCACAAATATGTTGACCAAGATGTTGACCTAGTAAGAAAGGCGTTGCTTTCTGACTTGTCAGTGCTTCAGTCAGCGCTTACACCGACAAACGGTAAACAACCATTTTCAGTCAACCCTTACCCAGACCGCACTTCTAGTGGGTTAGTGTACACCCAATTTGTGTTGGTAAACAGCCCCTAATTCATCACATCATGGTTCAGAAAGCAACGCATCCTCTTAGGCACAAGTGCGTCACGTGAAGCTATAACAAGCTAACTTGTGAACTTACCTGTTCGAAAGGTTAACTTTGTTTATATTAAGTAAACCTAAATAGCATGCCTTAATGCTTGGTCCTATATTCGAGTATTGAAGTACTACCAACCCAATAAGATAGGTGCTTATCATCTCCATCTAAATGTGCAATCCTACGAAAATATGGTAATTCAAGACAATATAAGTGGAGCTGCCGGCACATAATGCTATTTCAACCACAAGTCACCCAAAAAATGGCCGATCATGGTTAAATTCTACCAATAGCATCTCATCATATCCTCATGGGCCTTTGTTTCAAAGTTAAAGTCATACTATGGTTATGGATTACATTAGCGGTGTTAACCTTACTTATAATAGGCATGGACTTCTTTCACCTTTCATGCTTCACTCACTTTGGCTCCAAGCAATATTGTACTTAGGTATCATCCAACCAAATTGTATCTAGACACATTCAAATTTGAATTTGGTTAGCAAAATCGATATACAAATTAGATTTTGATGTTGGACTATCAGAACTCGATTATCAGATTATTATTGTCTGAATTCATTTAGCACAATATCTGAGACCGTAAAATTAAAAGGTAACCCAAATCTGATTCCTTAACAGATGTGATTCTGTATCCAAATCCAAGTACAAAACCAACAGAAGTTTCTGATTTCCAAACCTTAAAAATTACCAAAGCTCATCAAAAGTCAACCACAAGAGAAAAATTGCAGTCAATCTACAAATCTTGAAGACACTGAAGATATGAATGCATGGTTCGACATTACCAAGCTATTTGTGGTGAACACAGGAGCAAGTATATGGTCAACTAGCATATTCTTCGAGACAATCAGCACTCTAAGAACTCTATGATGGGCTTCCTTGATGAGTTATGCTCAATGAACCCTCCATATTATCCCCCTCTTCTCAGCATGTACTTTAGTGATTGATGCTTACTGATTCTATCGTTTTAGGGATTTTATTAAGATATTCTTGGATGTTCCTATATACGAATTCAAACAACTTTAATTCGGCTTTGCTCGGATTATTGCCACTTTGGATGGTACTATTGATTCTCAATGAATGACGCTTAGACAAAGGGAGTAATTCGTTTGTGTGTGATTAAAGTATGAAAAAGAAAACGAGCTTGTTCAGGTTTTGGATAACTCATCATGGTTTATACGATAAGTTCGATATAAATGACGTCTATGCATACATCTCAACCATTAACAACATTCAGCTGTAAGAGAATATTTACAACTAGCAAAAGCTGCATCCAAATCTGATATATCTACTCTGCACTCGGATACCTACTTAAAGACTGCAACGCAGACTCCACGAAGTATGACACATTTCCATTGAGATCCACTTTAGACTTGGATAACAATCATGATGGGGACCATAGAGTTTTGTAGATTTTAATTTTGAATAATTTATGAAGGAATCATGTCATTTAGAATTTACGCGCAAAAACTGATTCAAAGGAGTACTTTTCCTCATGGCTCCCATAAAAGAATCAGGAGTAAAACAAGATTGGACTTACTGTGTTTGCATAAAGCATAAGCAGTTGTACCTTTATCTTTAACAATTCGCTTAGAAATGTCATTTAGAATTTCCGCAACTTGAGAATCATCCAACAATGTTGTTTTCCTGAGTTGAATCAATGTTGCAACCAGTTTTGGGTTGAAAGGCTTTTCATTCAAGGCATATCGAATGTATTTACGCAAAATCTCCACCATGCTGAAGCCTGTCTGCATATGGACTAAAACTATCAAAAACTCATAGTCTTCACTAAAGTTGATTAAAGAAAAAAGAACTAGAAAAGTAAGGACCAGAAGCAATTAATTAGAAGTTCTAAAATACTTTTTCAAGTTATTTGGTCAAAGATAGAAGGAGTATGCATCACATCAACATAAAGATGTTGACAACAAGCCTTTCAGCACAAACAGGTTGGGGGATGATAAGATGAAACAATAGCCCAAGTGCCCAACTAAGCTAAAAAGGAACCAAAATAAAGTAGAAAAACGATGCAGCCCAATGACAAACAGAGAAAGGCGAACCCCCAAAGGTTGCTAGACATGATAGCATCAGGGTAAAAAGAAAACCCATCAGAAAGATGCTTTTATGATATTATGGTTTTAAATATAAGAGAAATTCTAGAGAATGTTTGCTACACTGAACTATTTTTGTCTTCTGTATGACAAAAAAATCGGGTCAAAATAAAATGCTATTTTAGAGTTTTATCAACAGTTTGCTTGCAACTTCAAATAGGATCTCCGCATAAATTAACTATCTACAGGCTTCAAGCCCTTTAATAACGGCCAAGTTTGCTTGTGGTTTCCATCCCAACTAAGGCCCCACTTCACATGTTCCCTTTGCTGAACACACTTGAGGAATCTTAGAAGCTGTTAACTGGATATTCTAAAATCACAGTTTGAGCTTTTAATGGTTGCTACTCTAGGAATTGATATCTACAATGAACCAGAATTTTAAAGGGATAGCATGCATGGGAACCATTTGATCTAGGTTCTGGTCCTTCTGGATCACTTCAACAAAGCAACCATATACTTAAAACGAAAAGGGCCACCAATCATAACTCAAATTGGCAATAGAAAACTGCCAAGATGATTGGCAGGTCGGTCCGGCTAACGAGGACTTGTAATGGAGGAAGAATAAGCATGCCAAAATTGGGTACCCGTCAAAATCCAAGGCTCCCCCCCCCCCCCCAAATTCCAAAAAAAGAACTAGCTTCTATGGTATTCAAACGCAAAGTACAAGGCTTCACATTAAGGACCGATTCACTCAACAATAGGTATTTGAGATACCCCCAATAATTCGATAATTCTCCACAACAATATCCTGGCATATATGTGTGTACTCAATAAAAACAGAAATAGAACTCTGCACTCCTGATGTGGAAAAAAGCAATTAAACAAAATCATCAAAGACCTAAAAGTTCACGCAAAACTATTATATCATTTACAGGTATTCAAACGCAAAGTACAAGGCTTCACATTAAGGACCGATTCACTCAACAATAGGTATTTGAGATATCCCCAATAATTCGATAATTCTCCACAACAATATCCTGGCATATATGTGTGTACTCAATAAAAACAGAAATAGAACTCTGCACTCCTAATGTGGAAAAAAGCAATTAAACAAAATCATCAAAGACCTAAAAGTTCACGCAAAACTATTATATCATTTACAACAACAATTCCATCATTTTCAGTTGTGTGTCTTTACCACAAGATGATTAAATCCAACCTAACCATATTTTCGCATAGATCAATTCAACAAAATTTACATTCCATGCATCAAGTTTTACCATTATTCAATGTGAAACCCTTACGATTTCAAGGATTCTTCCTGAACATCTCTCCTAGCCCTAAGTGTTGCCCTGCTACAATTCATAAGGGCAATGCCATCGGCAAATAACATGGCCCATTTAAGTTCTCTTCTACATGTTTAGTGAATATATAATCACTAAGGCAAACACACTAAAGGCTTCATAGAAGGTCAAGGTCAACAATTCCCCATAGCAAAAGTAAAGCTCAACTATGGCATACAGCAAGTTAACTGTAGTCACCAATCAATATATATTGGCGTCATCAGTCAAAAAATATACTTTTGACTCCTATGCGTTTTCCCTTGTAGTTAACCACAGGTGTTCACTTAGTCACAAGAAATCATATGCATTTTACCTTATAACCATGTATATGCCGGATTAGCCTTTGCAACAAGGAAATAACAGAACTGGTTGCCAAACACATAAATTTTACATTTTGGTCCATTTACCAATGACTTCTTCAACGGCTTCCTCATTACATGACCTGATGATCTGTAACTATATTTGTCTTCAGATAACACAATCTCAGGGGTTGCTTACCAAATTTTCTATTAAGCGGGTGTTTGTTTTGGACTTTATGAGCTTATTCACACAGCCAAAACGATGTGTTTACTTGGCGCTTATTCGAACATATGAGAAAAGGCTCTTGTCCACATTCAGCCAAAAAAAGGACAACCCTACCCCTTGGTTTAATAAAGCACGCCAAATCAAAAGATTAGAACCCTAACCGCACATGTTCATGATTTCAAGCTCTTGAAGCGTAAATTGATTGCTATCTCCTCCAAATCAATCACGATTTCAAGCTCTCCAAGCCCAAATCGATTGCTACCTCCAAATCAATCACGATTTCAAGATCTCTTCTCCAAAGGTAATGATTTCTGCACACTCATTTCTCCAGACCATATTATGATTGTTGACGAGTTTGTTCACAAGTTCTTCATGCTTGGAAAGTTGATGTTTTTGCTTAGTTTAATAGCATGTTTTTCTTGAATGTTGATGTATTTTCTTTGTGTTATTTGTTTAACAACATAGTTCTTTTTTTTTACATTATGATTTTGTTTTTTCCTAGTTTAATAGCTCGAATGTTCGTTATAGAATATTATCATCTTGTCTTAGGTATGGAACAAATGGGTGAAACGCAACAACAAAAAAGGGTTAGAATTAGTTGGAAGGATCCCAATATTGTGAAAACTTTCTTAGAAAGTTGTATTCTAGAAGTTGGGTTGAATGGAAATGAGGGTGCTAGCTTGAAGGCACTTTCGTGGAAGAAAGTTGCCGAGATTTTGAAAAACACACATAACTTTGTTGTCGATTGAAAACAAATGCGGAACCATTTCGATTACTTGAAAGGAAAATATGGTGCTTGGTTAAAGTTAAAAAATAAACCGGCAATGTTTATGATCCTTCAACGAACACTTTTAACTTGACTCCCGAGGAATGGGAGTTGGAGATGGAGGTCGTTTTCTAACTTTAGATTTTGTTTTATTTCGATTCTTTTTTATTTCGTTTGTATATTTATAAATGTTCTTTTAACACAGACGAATAGGTATGTTGAATCCTTGAGGACTACAAGTCTTCCATATCCCGACTTGTGTGCACGACTATTTGAGGGTGGTATGTCCACAGGTATTGGAGGCCATGGACCGTCATCAAAAGACCATTTGCCAACCACCGAGCCTTTTGTGGTCATTGAGGAAGAGATCAATGTATTAAGTGATCAAGCTCCCGTGTCTTCAACACCTTGTTCATCTCGTGCTCCGGTTGAGAAACAAAAGGGTAAAAAGACTACAAAAGCCACTTCGGAGCTTGACGAAAAACTTATAAAGCTTTTAGATACTATGGCGTAAAAATATGGTAACCCCGAGCTTGTTAGTTATGACACATGCCTAAAAAAATTGAACGAGATTGGGTGGGAAAAAGATGATCCCTTGTACCTAGGGGTGTTCAAAAAAACCGTTGGACCGCTCAAACCGGCCGAATCAAGTCAAACCGGACCTTTTTGGCGGTTTGAGTGGTGTGGCGGTTTGGTCTGGTTTAGAAAATAGCAAAACCGGGCGGTCCGGTCCTGTCCGGTCTATGGTCTGGAACCTTTTTTGGGCGATTTGGACCAAACCGACCGCCAAATACATAATATATATATATATATATATATTTATTTATTTATTTATTTTAGTATTAGCAAGTCCAACTTTTTTAACTTATAGACTATGGCCCAAATATATCCCTAAGCCCAAATGAAGCCTAACATCTAACATAATCAAATCCAAATGAATCGGCGCTTAAAAAGCCCTAAACCTGTACACATATCAACACATTTGACATTGATGGTCTCCAAATTTGAAATTCTTCAAGAACTCTATCAATCTTTCCTAATCCATGGTTTGATTTCGGCGCACATCATCAAGACATCAACCAAGTGATTCAACTCTTTCCTTCAAGTTTTTCGATTCCAAACTCAATCTTTTCAAGTCCATTAAATCCCCAAACCGGTCAGACCAGACCGCGTTTTCGTGGTCTGGTTTGACCGGTCTGGTCACTTGATGTCAAACCGCTCGATTTGAAAATTTTATAAACCGCCATTATGGTTTGGTTTGTGATCTGAGAGGTTATACCGCCCAAATCGGACCACAAACACCCCAACGTAAGAGAGAAGCTTGGATGACAATACCATCTGAAATAGCCAAAGAATGGGTGAGAACAGTTGGGGCGAAACAAGGATATCAGTAAGGATTGGTGCCACGGTTTTAGACCTTGTTTGGTGTTAATGACTTGTGAAGTAGACTATTGTGTTAGTAACTTGTAATGTTTTTGGATGTCCAAAGCCACATATATATCATAAACTGTCACTAAAAACATCACATGTCCAAGAACATGTGGCACCAAATTGTCATCCAAAAACATCACAAGTTACTAACACAGAAGTCTACTTCACAAGTCATTAAACACCAAAAAAGTTCTAAAAGTGTGGCACCAATCCTTATTGATATCCTTGTTTTGCCCCAACTGTTCTCACCCATATTTGGCAATTTCAGACGGTATTGTCATCCAAGCTTCCCTATTATGGTTGTCCGTAAGAAGAAAAAAGGCAATACGGAACGAGGGATCATCTTTTTCCCACCCAAGCTCGTTCAATTTTTTTAGGCATGTGTCATAACTAACAAGCTCGGGATTCCCATATTTCGACACCATAGTATCTAAAAACTTTATAAGCTTTTCGTCAAGCTCCGAAGTGGCTTTTGTAATCTTTTTACCCTTTTGTTTCTCAACCGGAGCACGGGATGAACAAGGTGTTGAAGACACGGGAGCTTGATCACTTGATACATTGATCTCTTCCTCAATGACCACAAAAGCCTCGGTGGTTGGCAAAGGGTCTTCTGATGACGGTCCATGGCCTCCAATACCCGTGGACCTACCACCCTCGAATAGTCGTGCATACAAGTCGGGATATAGAAGACTTGTAGCCCTCAAGGATTCAACATACCTATTGGTCTGTGTTAAAGGAACATTTATGAATATACAAACAAAATAAAAAAGAATCGAAATAAAACAAAATCTAAAGTTAGAAAATGACCTCCATCTCCAACTCCCATTCCTCGAGAGTTAAGTTAAAAGTGTTTGTTGAAGGATCATAAACATTGCCGGTTTATTTTTTAACTTTAACCAAGCACCATGTTTTCCTTTCAAGTAATTGAAATGGTTCCGCATTTGCTTTCGATCGACAACAAAGTTATGTGTGTTTTTTAAAGCCTCGGCAACTTTCTTTCACGAAAGTGCCTTCAAGCTAGCACCCTCATTATTCAACCCAACTTCTAGAATACAACTTTCTAAGAAAGTTTTTACAATATTGGATCCTTCCAACTAATTCTAATCCTTTTTTGTTGTTGTGTTTCACCCGTTTGTTCCATACCTAAAACAAAGACAAGATAATACCATTCTATAACGAACATTCGAGCTACTAAACAAGGAAAAACAGAAACATAATGTGAAAAAACAAGAACTATGTTGCTAAACAAATAACACAAAGAAAATACATCAACATTCAAGAAAAAACATGAAAAAAACATGCTATTAAACCAAGCAACAATCAAGCAAAAACATACCATTAAACCAAGCAAAAACAGCAACTCTCCAAGCATGAAGAACTCGTGAAAAGAACTCGTGCAACAATCAACAATCATAACGATCTAGAGAAATGAGTGTGCAGAATCGAAGAACTCGTGCAATAATCAACAATCATAACGATCTGGAGAAATGAGTGTGCAAAACTCGTGAAAAACTCGAGTGTGCATAATCGATTTGGAGAAATGAGTGTGTAGAAATCTTTACCTTTGGAGAAGAGAGCTTGAAATCGTGATTGATTTGGAGGAGATAGCAATCGATTTGGGCTTGGAGAGCTTGAAATCGTGAAAATGAAGAAAATGTGCGGTTAGGGTTCTAATCTTTTGATTTGGCATGCTTTATTAAACCAAGGGGTAGGATTGTCCTTTTTTGGCTGAATGTGGACAAGAGCCTTTTCTCATTTGTGTGAATAAGCCTATTTCTATGCGAATAAGCCCCAAGTAAACACATCATTTTTTTTGTGCGAATACGCCCATTTACTCATTAAGCTCATTAAGTCCCAAGTAAAACCCCCCTCAATCAATGATATTACCATTAAGATATGGTTGGTTGGAAGCAGGACCAGAAAGCAATGGAGTGTTCTTTTGAAATAATAAATTTTGTTTGGTTATGTCTTTTAAATGAAATGAGGGCTTTCCATCAGGATGTCATTCCATTAAAACCTTTCTTTTTTTAGAATGAATGGAAAGGTGTTTTCTCGTTCCAATGAAATAAACAAGAATTATGCATGTATTCTTGGAACACAAGCAAACGACTTTTATGACCTTTCATCTCCCACCACCCATATGACTGTTGAACTATATTGTGAGTTGTTACAGTGGTCTAAATCTGTAATCGCAGGATATAGCGGTTATCGCGATGGTAAACTGAGGGTATAGCGGTCTAAAAATAGTGGTTCATAATTAGAATTATATATTAATATATATGTATGTATGTATAGATATTTTGGCAGTCAAAAGTCCATCTAGTAGTTATTGAAATCGCATACTAATATATATGTTTCGGCAGCTAAATACATGTCCCTAACAATTAAAAACAAATAACTGAGGTCGCAAATGACTTGTAAAGTCAAAAAAACTAAAATTTCAGCTTCAAAATTGGCATCATCTCAAAACATTGTTGAGCAACTTCAGAAATGTTAACCTAAACCTAAAAGAACTCGATACTTGGCAACAAAATAGATCCCGGGCAATTTGAGCCAGCACTAATAGTCCCAACTATAGTAAAAAAATCAACACGTGAAAAACTGTGGATTTAGCACTGGTATTGCAACTAAAAATTTCGGTTAAAATGCGGCAAACAGCATCACTATTCTCCCGAGGACCGCAAACCGTTATACCACCTCTATTACGCCACTATAGCAGCTTAACAGCATAGCTGTTGAATGACCCACAATCACCTCCATCGACTTCACCCAATTACTATCTAGCTACCGTCAACAGGATACCACCCAACCTCACCAAATATCTTGCTTTTTCTTATTATGCACTATGGGAGTTTCCAAATTCTAATTTGTGTCACATTGGAACTCGTCGACCCACCAAGCACCATCCTTGATGAGAAAAAAGAAGAAGGGTCTAACCAATAACGAAAAGCTGTGCATGATTTCAGAAAATAATTTTTACACAATGGTTTTATTGTATGCAGAATATAGAAGATAAAACCAAAAAGATAACCAGAAATATACGTTTATCATGACCAAGACAAAAACAGAAGACTAAAGTTTCCTTATTAAGTCAAAAGTTGAATCTATATCACCTTCTGCATCAGTCCATTCAAAGCTTCCTCTTGTACTCCATTTCCCTCTTTCTCAAGCAACTCATCTATTGATCTGCATAGCTCTGCATTTTTATTGACCTAAAAAATATGTCTACAGTCAGTTGTTTAGTAATGGATCAAATAATGTTTAGGAAGTTTCTGGTCAGTTAACAAACAAACAAAAAAGCAAAAGAAGCTTTAGCTGTGTAATATCTGCATCACACACTTATGATATTAGTTATATTGATTCTTCACAGATGGAGAGTATTTGTTGCACCCTTTAACGCATCATTTTCTAGAAGTGCACACTTTCTATTTTGGGCTGTCCCAGAAATTGCAATATTTCCTTCTCTGAAAGGTATTTATTTCCAAGTTTACCTATTTGTCCATTATAAGTCATTAAAAGATATTGGTAAGATCGATTGTGGTCCAAAAGGTTATTCAACTTTTGTATTACTAGGTATATCGTAGGTATTTGATCAATTACATATTTTGGGGGCAGTGGGAGAATCTGTTTTTTTTTTCAGTAAGCATGAAAGAAAATAAAATATTATGAAAAGTGTTTGTTGGGTTTTACATTTAACTTTCTTTTCTACATATGCAAGATAAAAACCATAATCATACTAAATAGAAATAAGTGAAGAAAAGATAATTTTCCAAGCAAGCTGCATAATTTTTTCGCTGGTGTTCTCTAATTTGCCAACCAGCACCCCATTCTAATTTCTCTAGGAAAATTGCAATATATATCCGCAGATTCCAGTTAAGCACCCAAATTCTCCTTTAATCCCTAAAGCTTAATTGGACTATTAGTCTGTTGTGATTCCTGATTGAGCAAATCTGGTCCATTCAGTCAGAAAGCAATATGTGAAGAGCACATGCATGCTTTTTACAAAGTATATTGTATAAAGAAACCCTTAACATAACATACTATACAGTGCCAAAAAGCATTATGTCATCAATACATCACTTTCCAAATCTGAAGGATGTCTTTTCCTTTCCCCAGCCTCAGCCTAATGTTAACATTAAGTGAGCCATTTCTCTCCCAGTATCCCCTTCTCAACCCACAAAACATGGGAACTGAAAAATAATACACAACATTAGTATTATAAATTTATATTCTCCCTCTTTCTCTCTCTTTCAAATAGTAGTAACCTATGACCTACTGACATAACACACTTTCTTATTTAATGATGATATATGCAGGTGGCTTGCTTTCATAGTTTTACTCTAAAACAAACATCGATCTGTGCATTTTTGTGTTGATTTAACATGGAAGGAGAGAACACTACCCATGTAGAGCTCATGATTGACTAAAATCAAATGTGATGTTCAATAATTATGGACCTGTCATTTACTTGAATAAAAAAAGGATTCATTGTGTACATCACGTCGTTAAGTGACTAGCTATCTTATTCTTTTTAGAATAAATGGTACTTATTTTTTTCTCCTTATTACGCATGCTTATATAACATTTCTACATAGACAATGTGTAGATGTATAGGATGTAATGTGTAAATATGTAGAAGTGGTAGGCTTAATATGTAAATATGTTCCTAGGTTTACACCTATTACTTAGAATTAGTGTAGATATAGCACACTGTTTTGTGAGATATACACAGAAATATTTTCTCTCAACTCCCACAAATGACCATATCATGTACATCATACACCATTTAGATGATTCATCGGCAGAAGGAGCAAGGTTCCAGTGAAAGGAGATTGCACTCTCCTTCAGAACTTAGATGTAAATACGAAAAACACGATTGGGAAAAACTGGAAGAAAAAGACGCACAGTAGACTTGTATGTCTGATGCAAACCAAGTATTACAGTCCTATTGTTGCCATGAGTGACACTCCCTCCATCTCATAAAAGAATCCGCATTTGTCATTTGAGTGCTAAAGAGTCACCTTCTTAACTTCAAACATTTATAAGGATTGTTTGGTGGTAGATGAAAGAATGAATACAGCATGACCTGTAGCATGTTATGCTAATAGAATTTTTTGAAACCAAAAATGCGGAAACGATCCATGTCGGCTTTAAATTTGAATATTTCGGTTTCCAATATCAGAAATGGGTTGAACAAGCCTCAAAGGATATTTTTCAGTGTTGGCAACCTTCAAAACAGAAAGGGGTTTCATGTTTTGTAGTAGTGTCAAGTTAATTGGTTGGTCAGAATATCAGATGTGGGATTTGATGTTTGCAATTCAAATCAATTTGATGTACAAATTAAGTGTCACTATTGCCTCAATTGTGTTTTGAGTTTGTAATTCTTCAACTCGTGTTTAAGTCAATAACTCAATAATAAGTTCTTTATTTTCACCAAAATAGAAGTTATTGTAACAACTCCATTTCTACATCCCACGTCATCATTAACTAAGGGGCCGGCTTTCCCACCAAGGCCCCTAAGTCTTGTGAGGGTTAGGGTGGGACTTCTTCGTATGCATTATTTCCTAGCATTTGCAACGAGGCTGCTTCTGTATCACAAACTCTGACCTTGGCTATGTGCTTTCACCCCTTGATCACATTAACAGACACATAAAAAGTGCAATGCTTCATTGACCACTGAGTGTCATTGCTCATATCCCCAAATTCTTTGAACAAAATGCAGGGGCTAAGAGTTCATTCTATATTTAAACTACAAATTTTGACACAACTTCTTTCTTTATTGGCTCAGTTTTAGACTTCTTTCATATTTATACTTAGACATGTATAAGATTACGCTCTTATCCTCAAACTTTCAAGATTCACACCCAGCACTACATTAACATAATTCGTTCCTGTTTGTAGGCGTAATTGTTCAGAGAAGTCATCCATAAGAGAAGTTATATGCAGCTTAAATGGGTGCACAAAACAATAAAATAACAAAGAAACTGAAGGCAACAATGTAATCAGAAGAAAATTGATGCACAAACACAAACACGAAGAAGAAAAAAAAAAGATAAGGTGAAAAGCCAGGCTCACCAGCTTACGGCGAACTTCCTTGGGTGAAGTGAATTTGCGAACGGTCTTAACAACCGCAAAAACAAAGGAGATTCCAACATAAGCCAACGGGATGGCGAGTATCCAGGGGACAGAAGATTGGCCAACTCTTGGACCAGGAAGTGCCTGTGTTACGGAGCCACTAAACTCAACAATGTCCAGAGCCTTATCTTGTATCCATGGCAAATCCTCCTCCACTTCCTCCACCTCTTCCTCCTTCTTCTCTGCTTCTTTGGGGTCTATATTATTCCTTGCCGCTGCAGCGGCGGTGGATGAAACCAATCGAGCACGACGAGATGAAGTTACCAATAAAGGGGAAAAGGGCATATAGAAGGTTGACGATCTCAATTGAGAAGGTACGCAGTTCCTAGTAGTACTGGCAGTATTGATTTTACTGACTATTGACTTTGACGGTGGCTGCGGCGTCAGCAGCCATGTCCGACGGTCGGTGGAAGAAGCGGCGGCGGTAGAGAAGTAGTGATATCCAGAAGCACTAGACATTGTTCCTTCTGAGGATATCGATTATATGAAAGGATAAGATTGAATATCTTCTTCCTCCGGTGACTATAACTGGTCGTATGTGTGAATAATTGGGGTGGCGATGGCTGGATACGGCGGAGCTGCTACAACTGGATTCGGGTTGGGCGTTTTGGGGTTTTGCTCCGGGAATGGATGCATTTTAACATTTTTTTATATTTAATTTTTTCTTTTATTAAAATTCGTAAATATAAAATACTTAAATTTGTAGGAAGTGATAGGACGGTTTTGTAATAAAGAAAAAAGAAATTACAAATTTGGTCCCTATAGTTTGTTAAAAGTAATATTTTTCGTTCATGTGATTTTAAAATTACAAAATGGTCATTATGGTTTGTAAAAACGTCTGAATTTTAAATCCAATGTGGTGTCTGATTTATTTGAGTTTGGCTCCAAATATCAAAAGTACCAGGAGGTCCCAGGTTCAAATCCAAGGAGAAATAAAAATCTCTTTTTATGGCACGGAGGTTCAAATGCGATGACTTTGGACTATCTGCAACTTGGGATTAGTCAGCTCAAATAGCGGGTTGGATATCCAAGTTAATCAAAAAAACCATCTGAATTTAATCTCTTCTTTTAAAGACCATTAATAAGTTCCATCAAATGGGGGCCACATTAACCAAAATCATAAAATTGATATTATGTAAAAGCAAAGTAAATTATGTTTTTAATGCCTATGGTTTTGTTTAAATTGCAATTTTTATCCTTACAGTTTTGAAATTGCAGTTTTTCTCTATGTATTTAGCAATTTTGTAGTATGCTAAAAATGTCTAAACGTCTTGATAAACTGCTTTATATGACTCGATTTTGTAAAACCAAATAATTGTGTATCTTATATAAATACGTTATAATAAGTTGATATGACGCTTTTGTGCAAGAAGACCTTCATTGCAGAATAATTGCAAAAGGGGGTCCTTATATTGATTAAGTTTAGACAATTTATCCACAATCATTTGATCAAAGGAACACGATGACAAAAGAAACGCCATAATATACTCTTAGCAGGGATGCATTCATGGCGAATACTAATTACAAGCTCGATTTCGATTAAGCTACACTGAACGAAGATGTAGTGCCCTCAACGAATTTCTTTGCTCCTTTGAACCATCTTTTGTCACCTGCTTGCGCCTTGCAGATGTAAAGTTTTCCGCCAGACACGGTGGCGGTGATCAACTGGTGCTTTCCACCCTCATCTCCGTCAGCCGTCCTTGTTAACACGGACAACGAGTAGTATTGCTTTCCGTCCACAACCGGAGATGCAACCTCCAATATGTTTGCTGTGGCAACTGCATCGGGTTCAAACCCTCCCTACACACGTATTATTCAACCCATATTTAATTAAGCTTCGATCAATGTTTGATTAATATATGAAGCCAAATATGTGTAAGTGTCCTAATAAATTAATTACTTTATAGGACCAAATAAATAATTGTACGTCATATGTAAATGTGTTATAATAAGATGCTTCGAAGGAAACAGTTTTGAAAAATAAAGGGTAATGATAGTTTTTTTAGGACAAACATGAAAGTGTTTTGTGAACCACAAGGGTGGTGTCTGATTGGTTTGAGTTTGACTTCAAATGTCAAAAAAAATGTCTGGAGGTCCTAGGTTCAAATTCAAGTAGGAATAAAAATTCTCTTGTGGCCACGAAGGTCCAAATGCGGTGACTCAGGACTACTCGTATGCAAAGCAGGCGGTCGCCTTAGGATTAGTCGACTCGCATAGCGGGTTGGGTATCCAGGTTAATAAAAAAAACGTTTTGTGAACAATCTTTTATAGAAAACTTATTTTTATAAGAATTTTGTTTTCAAATAGTGTCATATAAAAGACTAATAAGATGTTTTATTTCAAAATTATCATAAAACGCTTGTCAGAACATCAAAAAAAGTCCCGTCAACTTCTTGCACACACACACACATATACATATATATATATATATATATGGTTGGGTTCCGGTAAGAATAAGAATTACAGTGAAAAGGGTAAGAAGAGATATATACCCTTAGATCAATCCTAATTGAAGGGTTCCACTAGATCAACATTAATGAGAAGCACCACATCAATATGGGTTCGTATGAGATTAAAAGTAATCTATGGGTCTCAACCTAACTCTTATTCTCACGCGGTCATTCGATCTATATACATATATAAAAGCAAATTTGCGTTGCATGTCCTATAAACTATTTGTTAAGCCAAATAGACATGACATCCTATAAAATCATTATTGTTGTAGTGAATGCTGTTATGGTAACTTGTATAAAAGTCTCAAGAGTCGTTTTAAAGGGTACATTGGCCCGATCCTTTTACGTAGTAAATATAAAACAGGAAGTAACGTTGGTTACCTCAGAATCAGTTTTCCCGAAATAAGCCTGTTTCCCAAGCAAGTAATCGACCTGAAAATGATAAGATAATCCATATATACTCAGTCAAATTCTATTACTCTTCAAAAGAGTCTTTAAGAATGTTATAATACATATAAGATTGAGTTCCTTGTAAGACCACATATGTTTTCATGAGACACGTGAGACTAGCTATGAAAGCACAAAAACACATTGAACCTTCACAGCAAAAACATTGTTCAGTGAAGTCCGTTTTTACGGTAAAAGGTTCAGTGTTAGTGTTAGTGTTAGTGTTAGTGTTAGTGTTAGTGTTTTGTCCTAAAGATTCAACACTTTACAGCGGTCTCACGGGTCTAACAAAAACAAACCGGTAATCCCTAAGTCTCTCTCTCTCCATATATATATATATATATATACACACACACATGTATATATGAATCTATCACCTTGCTGAGGAACTCCTCAGGTGGACCAAAATCAGTGATGGATTTCTTGTCGGTGGGAGTAATCATCACAGAAAGATTGCTTGTGGTATCGAAGTTATCTTCATATCTAAGCACCTGACCGGGAAACTCCACCTCCTTGCTAGGGTTCCACTTCGCCGGAAGCGACAGCTTGAACCCATCTCCGTCGTATGGCTTGAAGTCTGTGTTCGACTTTGGCTTCCCAAACACATTCGCTGCAACGATTTACAATTACACAAAACCCATGTTCGCTTTCAATTTATATCATCAAAAAACGAAAGGAGTTCAAGATTCAAATTTGAATCAAGACGTACGTACCAGCTTCACCATAGGCGGCATCCGCCGGTGAAACCTTGGTGCCAACGGCAGCTGCTCCGATGAGAACAGTGAGAGCCAACCGGCGAGAGATCGAGGCGTCAGTATCTGAAGCTCGTTTCTGTGAACGGCAGACGATGAGGTGGGTGGGTTTGTTGAGTGGCACCTGACGAGGTGAAGGTGATGATCTAGCTGGAGTTGATAATGCGTGGTGGTGGTGCAAGAAACATGAAGTGGCGGCCATTGTTAGATCAGAGAGTGATGGTGAGGGTGATTGTGGATATGGGAAGTGAAGGTGTAAAGGAAGAAATTAAGAGAAAGGATTGGTGAGAAATGGATGAGAAAGAAGATGAGATTGATGGGGTTTGGATAAGGGTGTAATGGCTGCCATTGGTGACAACTGGAAGGAGACGATCTCCAACTTCACTCGGATTGGCAAGGTGGGGCCCTCTCTTTGACCCATGTGTTTTCCCAAAACAACCACCAGGTTTCGAGTAGTTTGAGGAATTCTTTTACCATTTGCTACCCGTTTTTTATAATTTTTTAAATAAAATATTAAAAAGAAATTAATTAAAATAGTCAAAAAAAAAAAAAAAAAATATTAACTTGGATATTCAATCCGCTATGCGAGCCGACTAATCTCAAGACGACCATCTGCTTTGTGTGTAGTCCGGAGTCACCGCATTTGAATCTCCATGGCCACAAAAAGATTTTTATTCCTCGGATTTGAACATAGGACCTCTTGACACTTTTGACTTTTGGAGTTAAGCTCAAACTAATCAGGCACTACCCTTGTGGTTAAAAAAGAGTCAATTTTTGATTCGTGATTTCGCTTCTTAACCGTTTCTTTTCTAAAATCATTAAAATGTCACTTGATCCACAAGTGACAGGTTCGTATTTTACAGAGGGGTCAAAGTATAAAAAAATGTTTCTGAACCAAATCCCTAAACTGCAAGAACCAAATTTGTAAAATTGCAAAAACACATCTTGGGGGACAATAGTCCAAATTTACAGATTTGGTCTATGTCATGAACTTATTGTTCTTACACTTTGACCCTTTGTAAAATACAGACCTGTAACTTGCGGACCAAGTGATATTTTGATAATTTAGACGAGAAATGGCTAAGAGATTAAAACATACGATTAAAATGGTTATTTTAATTAATTTTTCAAATTAAAATCTTTAAAATAAATAATATTTAACTTGAACAATTTTTTTTATTTTAAAATTTTCATGATCAATTATATTATTTAAAGAATATGTAATTTTATGATCCCTTTTTAGAAGTAATTAAATAAAATAATGAGTAAATTACAAATTTTGTCCATGTAAGGGTATCTTGGTCTTTTCCATAAAAATGGGAGGGTATCTTGGTCCTCCCCTCCCCTCCCCTTTATGTTTTCATCTTGCATTTGAATGATAAAGTTTATTTGGATGGGAACTTTTTAGTGTGCACTTCACTTTTTAAATGGGAACTTCCTACTTGTAGATAAATATACAAAATACCTAAAATACCCTTGTGTGCTTTAAGTGGAATCGTTTAAGCAGTCATTTATTTTTTTAAAAAGCATTACGAAATTAAAAATAAAACCGAATGGTATGTCAAGATACAACGAAAGGTACTGCGAGATGTAGTAGGTAAAAGGAAACATACAAAAAGGAAGAAAAAACCGAAGCGAATGAAGTAACTTTAGCTCTTGAAAAGCCCAATTAACAAAAAGGCCGTTTAACGTAGTCGTTAATGGCAGGGACCATATCCAAAGCAAAATATTAAGATCAATAGCTTTTATGGTAAATAAACTGTAGGAACCATATCCGATAAAATGGACTTTTAACGACAACAAGGGTCGTTGCTAAAACCCCATTTCTTGTGTAGTTATGTAATTTACTCAACCTCATATCAACTTTGCTAATTTAGTGTAAAAAACCTTACGGTACCAAAAAAAAAAAAAAAAACATAACCCAACTCAATTATGGTGGGTTTGCAAAAATCTCGACTCATTCATAAGTATAACCCAACATAAGAGACGGGTTGGTTGGGTTGGGTTGGGTTGACAGATTAGTAGTTACATAAATTTGAATAATGGAATACTTCATAAGATTTAAGTATATATGACCAGACTATAAAGTGTCATATCTAAAAATGTTATAATAGACTTATGAGATGTTTTTGGACGTTTCAACAAGTTTTCTGTGACGCTTTTTAAATAAAGTATTGTGTTAGTTATTTTGTAGGGAAAAACATCTTGGGAAGTGTGTTGTAAACTCATCTATTTATAGGACATTTTCGTTCATACGACACCTTTTCAAATAGTGTTATATAAAATAACTAGTATGATACTTTATGTTAAAAACATTTTAAACGTTTGTTAAGACACCCAAAAGCGTCCTATAAACGTACTATAACACTTTTAGATACCACACTTTTGTTTCGTCGTACCAAGTATCATATTAGGACGCTTAGCATTTTAAGCATCCTATAAACCTAATGTTCTTGTACTGAAATGATATAATTATTAGTCTTTTCTTTCAACCAAAGTACAACATCAATGAGGGCGTCATTAGATTGATAGATTTGTCAACCAAATATTTATCAACATCATTCATATTATCTGGCATATCCATTTACGCTGCAAAAACGATTTTAATAATTTTATTCTGTTAAATCATTTGCCATCAGAATTAAAGAAATTATACAACAAAACAAGAACTTTATTATTAATATATAATAATAAATATTATATATAGGCAAAATCAAACGAGAACAATACCTATTTAAAAGAACACAAAATGGGCAAATCACATGTGATGTTACATTAATGGTCATAAAAAGTGTCCGGAGGACTTGTGACTGCGTTTTCAGGTCGCCGGAAAGGTCGCCTACATCACATGTGATTTTGTATGTGATGTTAGTGTAAAATCACATGTGATTCGCTTGTTTTCGTATTCTTTTAAAAATGTATTGTTCTTGTTCGTATTCTTTTAAAAATGTACTGTTCTCCTAAAACGCTAGCCCAACTAGTATTTCAATATGTTAGCTTATGTCATCCAAATGAAAATTTAAAAAATATAACCACAAGGGTGGTGTCCGATTGGTTTGAACTTGGACTCCAAATATCAAAAGTGTCTAGAGGTCCAAGATTTAAATCCATTGAGAAGTAAAAATTCCCTTATAACCACAGAGGTTCAAATGCAGTGACTTCGGGCTACCCGCAAAGCAGGTTGTCGTCCTGGGTTAGTCGGCTCGTATAGCGGATCGAATATCCAGGTTAATTAAAAAAAAATATCTAAAAAATAAACTAGTGTTGTAGGATAAATGTTCCATAGTCTAAAGGATATGCCGATAAAGATAAATATATATATATATATATATATATATATGTAAAGAGAGAGAGAGAGAGAGAGAGATGAGCGATAAAATGAAAACCGTTCTCATTCGTTTAAACCGTGCAAACCACTCTCATCCGTCGATTTCATTGTTTAATCTTATGAAATTTTTCATGAAATTGTTTAATCTTGTGAAATTGTTTCATATAATATTATTTTTTTGATGAAGTTGTTCCATATATGGTTATGAAATTGTTTCATATAATACTTAATGAAATTTTAATGAAACTGTTTCATGTATTTCTCTATGTTTAACACCCTCCACAGTAAAAATGATTAATCAACCTCTCATAATTACAAAAACATGAACAACATGAAAAATTATGATCGGTTGAATGAGTTTTGCACGGTTTGTACAAATTGAGTGGTTTGCATTTGATCGCTCTCATATATATATACATATAATTAGATTATAAGTGAAATATTTCGTAGTTTATCTATGTGTAACTCATATCTATAAAAAAAATTATGATTAATAAGAATTACACACTCGTTCTCTATTCTATTATTGTTTATTTTTAATTATTTTACCACAATTAATTTATTTTTAATTATTTTACCACAATTAATTTATTTTAACAAATAAATCATAAAAAAAAAACATATATTCTAAAACCTAACGTAATATTGCAAAAAAAGTAAAAGAAACTAATGACAAAAGTGATGGGCAATCTAGGTTGCAATGACATAACACCAACGACAATATGTTATACCTTTCGGATAACAACAATAAACCATTAGAATAAAAAGTGGAAAAAGTGTAAATGCGATAACATAACTTTCATACAGATGTAAATTAGGTCAGCTTCTAATCGTCTATTTTACGTGTAAATTAACGTAAAAACACGTGTTCAAAATTATCTAAAAACACCTCTTAACGTAAATAAACGAACGTCGCTAAATACTACAACATCATGTTTGTTAAAAAATACACTTTTTCTTGGGATTATTAGATCACCAGAATTCCTTTTTACGCTTACAACAAATAAAACTATATATATATATACACACACACACACATATATAAACGTTAATAGAAGATTGAAAATACATGAAAAATAGAGGAACACTTTAATAACCATTTACCTGTACGGTGTTCACATATGCTTTCAAGTAATTTGCAAGTAATTTCTACAGTATACACATATACATGACATGCATACAAACAAACAAAAAAAATCTTTAATTAAAGGGAAATTTATAAAAATAAGCATTTTATACAACATTTTGCCACAAAATAACCGGGTTTTAGAGGTTTTGCGTATTTGACCACCCAGATCTACCCTAAGGGGCGATCCGTACACATATGGGGCGATCCCTACTTTTTTGGGGCTATCCCCACTTTTTTGGGGCGATCCCCAATATAATTCTTAAAAAAAAAAATTTTAAAAAAATTCCTTAAAAATTCCCTTTCATTTCTCTTCTCAATAAACCATTATTTTAACCATTACTGAAAAAAGAAATTAAAGGGAATGTGTGAAAAATTATGAAGTAGGAGGTTGGTATTTATAGTGAAATTGGAGGTAGAAAAAAATGATAAGAGACGTACGGGTTTATATCTGATTTACGAAACCCAAAACAGATAAAAATAATTTGTGTGTCTCCATAATTATAATGGTTTATTTTTAAACTTTTACCCATGAATTTTGGTTCTAAAAAAGTTAAAAAACACAACTTAAATGACGTATCAGTTTTATTAAAAATACCACAAAAAAAAAATAATAATAAAAGGTTGGATCGCCCCTGGGGGCGATGAGACAGCCTGGATCGCCCCCTAGGGCGAGGTCAAACCCGGTATTCGAGGGTGAACAGTAATCCCGTCTTTTAAGGAATTTTTTTTAGAATTCTATTGGGGATCGCCCCAAAAAAGTACGGATCGCCCAATATGTGTGCGGATCACCCTTAGGGTAGATCTGGGTGGTCAAATACGCAAAACCTCTAAAACCCGGTTATTTTGTGGCAAAAAGTTGTATAAAATGGTTATTTTTATAAATTTTCCTTAATTAAATTGTATGCACATATCCTTGGGCCTTGTTTGTTTTTGTATAAAATATTATCAGCTTCTTATATCTGATTCGTTAAGAGGTAAGATCATTCAAACTATTTATTTTTTTCTAAATTTTCAGAGTCACTTATGTTCTATTATTCTCTTATCTTGTAAGAGATAAACCAACATCTTATTTGCTTCTTATTATTTTTCAAACTCTCAGCAAACACGTTTCTTAATTGATACTTACCAAATCGATCCTCACCTGTCTCAGTTGATTTATTTTAATAGGATTTACATGTGTTAAATACTGTTAGTGACATATTTTTGTTTAAATGAATGCTAATTATATAATTTAGATGTAAATTTCGTAATGATGATGAATAAATATGTGAAATTGTATAAATTTATTTATAGTTCAACACTATAATTTTCTAATAGGTAAAATAGACAATTTAAACAAATTCAGACATTTATCGGTTTACAAAAACAAACACTTTTGTTGATTCAAATTTCAACACCACATTTTACGAACCAAAAGTAAAATAAGACTTCAAGCTTCAGCAACTCTTAAATTTCTCGTGAACTCTTGCTATATGTGTGTGTGTATATATATATATATATATATATATATATTCCCAAAATAAATAAATAAAATAATAATATTAAATTTAATTTTTTGAGACAATTATTAAAAAAAGGAAATGCTTTTATTAAAGGAACAGCAATAATTTGATAGACGACAAAATCATTTAATTTATGAAAATGTTAATTAATTTCAAAGCATCAGATCAATTAAAGGTAACAAATAAAAGAAAACCAAATCAATTGAAATAATCTCAAATTTGATTAATTTCATATAAAAGCTCACGAATTTCCATGCAATTCGATATATTCCCTGCGATTTGATTTCCGATTTATCAGGTTTTCTTTGGGTGTGGTGTGGTGTATAGATTTTTTTCTCTCTATATTTTCTGGAATTCTTGGCCCACTCTTCTCCCTCTTCTTCCAAACTCCCTTTTTGCTTGGGATTTTGTCTTTCGGTGGCTTTGCGTGCACTGCTCCTCCATTCTTCACCGGTCCCTAATCTATGGTTGCAAAATCTAAGCACGCTGTCTTCTGGGTCTTTCGATTCTCATGGAACATTAAGTGGGTTTAGATTAAATCGCATCTACAGTAAGTATCTCAACACATTCTTCAACTTTTAGATCACTACTAAATGCTTTTAATATATAAAGCTGTAATTGCATTGGAATTTGATTTGGGATTTTAGTGGGTTTGTCGTAAACCTAGTTTTTAGAAGGATGTTTTTGTTTGATAATGTGGATTTTGGTCACAGATCTGAAATTGAAGTTTGTAATTTAGTGGTATGAATGTATGATTGATGTTTTCTTTTTGCCTTTCCGTTTTGTTGACAGGATTGTGTTTTATGGGGAATCTAAAGGAGATTGATTAGCTCAAGTTAGAGGTGGATAACTTCATACCTTACAATTGTCACCAGAAATGTCGTCTGGGAATTTAGATGCAGAATTATCGAAGAAGACTTCAATTGTGGGTCTTAAACTATGGGTTGTGATCTGCCTTTCTGTTGGTGTGTTTATTTGTATGTTTCTCTGTCTCTTATCAATGTGGGTCACATGTCAAAGGAAATCTCGAAGAAGATTAGACAAATATCCCCTTTCCCAGATACCAAATGTCCCAAAAGATATCAGAGTTGATAGAGTTGGAGGTCCACATTTTCATAGTCATAGTAATCGTGAACACCCATCAACGACAACTAATGATGAACCAAGTGGTAAGAATTCTGGAAAGATGCTATTCCAACTTGCAGTGAGCAAATCTGGTGATGCTGATAACGTAAGTCAGAGCAGTTCAATGTATGAAAAGGGGGGCAGGTCACAATCAGGGGAAGAAGGAACTTCTGGGACTGTTTGGAAGCAGTCTTCACAGTCTCATGGACCTGGAATGGCGTCTCCTTTTATTGGTTTACCTGAAGCCTCACATCTAGGGTGGGGACATTGGTTTACGCTGAGAGACCTCGAGCTAGCAACACGGCGTTTCTCCAAAGAAAATGTGGTTGGGGAGGGCGGATATGGGATTGTATATAAGGGCACCTTGATCAATGGGACTGTCGTAGCAGTGAAGAAGCTACTTAACAATCTGTGAGTATGCCTTTGGGTTATGAATGCATCTTTTTGTTTCCTTGATGTTGAGGTTATACATGTTTGTATATATTTTATGGGTAAGGTTTAGGGGAAAACGGCAAAAAATAAAAAACTGAGGAACACCCAGGTAACCATTCATCTGGACGTATGCACATGTGCAATTGTGCATACAAGTAATTTGTAAGCAATTTGTCCAGGATGCACACGTGTATAAAAACCAAGAAACAACTCCAATTACTTATATGCACATGTGCATTATCCAAATGAATGGTTTAAGGGGTGTTCCTCATTTTTTCAATTTTTGGGGGTTTTCCCCTGAATCTCCCTCTATATTTTATAATCTTATTGCGTACTTTTATGCATAGGGGACAGGCAGAGAAAGAATTTAGAGGTGAAGTGGATGCTATAGGACATGTTCGCCACAAGAATCTCGTGCGGCTTCTAGGGTACTGCATAGAAGGAACCCATAGGTGCATTTCTTTCTCTACTTAATACACATAATTGCTAATTTCGTCGTTATTATTCTTGATTCATTTTGCTAATTCTCTAGATTTTAGCTGGCCCTCTCAGTTCGTCCTCTCTTTATGCCATTTGAGGTTTGTTAGAAGTGGATGCTATTGACTTATGGTCCATATTTGCTTGAATAACTTAGGATGCTTGTTTATGAATATGTGGACAAAGGAAACCTGGAACAATGGCTTCACGGACAGGAATATGGTGTCCTTACTTGGGAAGCTCGCATGAAGGTGCTTCTTGGTATTGCAAAAGCGTAAGTGACTCTTCTAGTTGAATTGTTTGGAACACATACTTATCGTCTTTGATGATTTTAATCAAACTAGCCAATTAAATTGTCTGCAACATGAGCTTTGTTCGGAAATGTAGAAGTATTTACATTTTTTGCTTAACTTTAACTCTTATTGGGAGGTCTTATATAGGTGGTTCAGTTATTTAGCAGTCAACAACATGTGCTTTGTCCAAATGGGGTCAAATTATGTGTTTCAAAAGGATTGAGATGCAGCACCCATCATTTATTCCTCTCCTTGTTTTCAGCTCAAGTTCCATCTTAATTTTCTCTTGCTTGTTTTCAGGCATGTTCCAGCTTAAGGTTCATGCCACCACTCACACTTACCTTATGTTTTTCACTTCTCTGCCCAGACTTTCTATATCCTATAACCAGACAAACAATTATACTCGCACTCATAAAAGTGTGGCTGCCATTATAAAAGTAAGTAAAAAATAAAATGCACCTGATCTATGTGAAAACTTAATTGGATGATAATTTTTAGTTGTAGACTGAAAGGGAAAACACACATAATGACAACTAAGAGACCAACATAACAGATTATAAACGATGCAATGCTTTCTTTTGAAATTTCCTATAATTGCAACAAAAAGCTCCAAGTGATAACTTTGACAGGGGGGGAGAAGCAATCAAATTGTTCTAGATACATTGGTGCCAATCTCATCCCTATTCCCATCATCCGCTTCCAACTCATATATATATATATATATATATATATATAGAGAGAGAGAGAGAGAGAGAGAGAGAGAGTATCAATTTCAAGTACCCTGATATCCCCAAATGTATCAAAAGTATCTACCAACATCCCAATGTCTTCATCCATCGTACTTGACATCATGGAGTTTTTCTTGATAAAAGAAGCGGGATTGCTGTGAATGTACGCCAAGCCCTTTCGTGATGTCAATTTGATCCTTCGTATGGGATGGGCAAATAAAATTGCACTCTGATTCATGCTGGAACGGAAACAGATGTGGTTTAGCATGTACTTGACTAGGTTTTGAAGGACAGCATGTGCACTATTGGAAACCCATCATCAAGATAATTGTATATTCCCATCTTTGAGCAGAAACAAGCAAACTCTATATTGCCCTTGGATTATGTTGGTGGACTGGGAAACAAGTAAATAACTTTGTCATCCATTCATTCCTCTTATCTATAACCTAATCGATTTCCTTTGGACGAAGTCCAGTTGGATCTTCATCAACCCATTATGGCTAGCACTTTCTGTTGGAGGTTAATTGGTGGCTTTAACACCATTATGGTTTGTAATATCATACTCTGATGAAAAGGGAAATATGGTAGGAAAAAAACTTGTTCTTCTTCCGTAAAGAAATCTTCCAATAATCCTGAGCCGAATCTTTTAAAAAAAGCACGTACAATACTTTTATGCTTATCAGCTAAAGTTCTAGCACAAGAAAGTCGAAGTACATACTTAAGCTGGAAGTTAAGAATAGGCTGACCAAAAAGCACTTGTCCTTGTATTCTCTTATTTTAGTAAGGTGTTAAGAGGGTAGCATGCGACACTTATGGCATGGGTACACGAGTTCCTAGTCAAGAGGGTTATCTGATAGCATTTTTTAGTGGAAGATAAAATGCAGAACAGAAAGATTGGATGTGTGATTGTCTAAATGTCGCGAAACCTCATCTATGAGTTGCTAAAATGATAAAACCTTTAGAATGCATACTAGACACAATGATCAATGAACCACACTTCAGAGATATAATGGTATTTTATTTCAAAACTGAAACTGCTCTTTTGAAAAAATGGGAGGGAAAAGTTGACTACATAAGCTTCCCTCCCTAACCTATGACAAGCCAAGGAGCTTTGGTGCACTTGGGTCACCCTTTTTTCAAGATGAAAATTGAACATGACCTCAGAATTACATGCTATCGTTGAAGCCCTCATATAACACACACAATATGTATCTTCAAATGGATTTTTTTTTCAATAATTCACAAATGAACCTTCCATTCTCACGATATTTAGCCTTCTTATTTGAACCAGCCCCTACATGTACATATACATACAATGCTATGCTAGCATGTCATTCTGTGTGCATGTATGTACTCCTTTACCTCTGTGCACACGGGAAAAGGTGTGGATGGTATTATTTTGAGTTTGAAGAAGGTTTAATGCTGCGGATGCTTATGAACAAATGACCTTGGTCCTTTGTTTAATGAAGAAGAGCTCACCCTTTCTGTGGCTACTGCTTCTTCCTCATCTTCTACTGCTACTTCTCTCTCCGCTCACCTGATGAGTAGGCTTTGGTTTCCTTATTGCTTGTTCCCAATACACCAAATTGTTTTTCTTTACAGAAAACACCACACTGATTGCACATGTTTTTGACGAGCTTGTTTTGTTTACTACTTGAGGTGCAAACTTGTAGAATTTGGTTAATTGGTGAGGGAAGCCTCTAGATGACCGCATGGCGATTAGCTTTGAGGAGTTTCCTGTGTTAATCCATCATACTGTGAGCGCTACAAAGTGTGACCTTTGCTCTTAGCAGCCGATCAAGATCACAAAGATTGTCAATTTGTCATACAAAAAATTCTCATTACTATCATAATCGAATCTGTGAGTTGGATGTTATCTTTGACTTTGGGAGATTGTCTTGGGAGTGTTTCTCAGGAGATCCTAGAATTTTGGGGTACCGTTGTTCTTTTCCCTGGCCTACATTCTTTGTTTCATCTTCATATTGTTCCCATGCATCAGTGTACAAGTCCTAAGCGTTACTAGCATGTGGGATTTTTAGATGAGTGCATTTTTAAAGGAGTTCTCGTGAGTTCTTCACTTACACTTTCTAGATTAAGGGGCTGTTTGGTTTGTTTTTCATTAAGTTCTTTATGGATAAAGCTGTCTTTGTGGATGAACCTGTCTGTATAGGTTGGAAAAGTTTTTGTTAGGGAGGAGTTTTTTATAGATGGAAAGAGCGTGGTTTTTAATTGGAAGGGGCAGGTTTGGAAAAACTTGGCTTTCTGCATAAAGCTCCCCTTAGAAGCTTATCGAATAGGTCACTTTCTATGTCATTAAGTCACTACCAAACAGTCAAGTATAACTGATCGGATAACGGAATAAGCTGTGAGTCCTATTAAACTCATTAAGCTGCTGACAAACAGTCCCTAAATTATGTTACAAGTTTCATATATTTACAAGATCTTCGTCACTAGTCATCAACTCTTTTAGGTACTGATTTTGCAGGCTTGCTTACTTACATGAAGCTATAGAACCAAAGGTTGTGCATCGAGACATCAAATCTAGCAATATTTTGATTGATCGTGAATTCAACGGCAAGCTTTCTGATTTTGGATTGGCCAAGCTTTTGGATTCAGGAGAAAGTCATGTAAATACCAGAGTAATGGGGACATTTGGGTATGACTGCAAATTCTTGTTTAATATCTGTTTCTGTACTAGTGACCTAAAAATAGAATAGTTGACTGAAAAACCTGTTTATGTTGTAATATGCAGTTATGTGGCTCCAGAGTACGCTAACACCGGCATGTTAAACGAAAAGAGTGATATTTATAGTTTTGGTGTGCTCCTTCTGGAAGCAGTTACTGGAAGGGATCCGGTGGATCACAACCGCTGTGCTAATGAGGTACAAATGGGTTACAAATCATCTAATGCATCTTTTTGAGATTGTATTAGAGTCGAAATATTTTTCACGTAAAAAGATTGCTACAATATGGGTATTTGTTAAACTTATGCTAGGTGAATCTTGTTGAGTGGCTCAAAATGATGGTGGGAAATAGAAGAGCAGAGGAAGTTGTAGACCCAAACCTTCAACCCAAACCCTCGACTCATGCTCTAAAACGTGCACTTCTGGTGGCGCTTAGATGTGTCGATCCTGAATCTGAGAGACGACCTAAAATGAGTCAGGTTGTGAGAATGCTTGATGCAGATTTCCCATATCGTGAGGTACTACTTGCTTTCACATTGGCGTGCTTTTTTTTTGTATGTAACAGGTTTTGATGCTTTACATGTTCTACATTCCCTGAAATTATTATCATGAATATATGAAGTCAAAACATATCTTATAATGCCTTTACTCTCTCATATTCTCAATATCATGGAACCCCATATACAATAGAAAACATCTTGAATATAGTTCAGATGCTGATTTGTCATGCAATATGGAACGACTGCTGTATCTATATATGGCTCCACCAATGATAAGGAATTTAAGGAGGAAAATCTTGAGAATAATTGTGATATTAGATAGTAAGACAGAGAACAGGGGATGTTAAATAGTGTAAAAGTAGGAATCTTGCTCTCCCTACTCTAATTTATTACATCACAAGGAAATTCAAGCATCCTCAGTTCCATTTTTCACAGGACTTCCATTTGTAAAATAGGAAGGAAGTATTTTAGAATGGAGGTAGTATCAACACATATTGTTCTTTACTGTATAAGTAGTTTGTTGAATATACAAATTAAGAAAAGGGGGGATTTTAGTGCACTTTACAGGAAAGTTGTTTCTGTGGAACACCTATTTTTCGGGTCACAAAGGAGTAACATTACTCAGTTGCTGCAAAGTTTGCCCTTTATTAGTTGAAACTATGAAAAAATCACTTTTTCTTCTTCTGAAGGGATACTACCAAATTACCAATATAGGGCATCTAAATCTTAAAGTTCTCATTTAGGCCATACAACTATTATTTTTCTCAGATGGGGTACATTTAGTATATTTTTGTTTCAAGAATCCCATTTCGGCCAAAGTGGTCAATTTGTTAACTAAAATGAGATAATACCTAGGAAGGCCATTCAGTTATTAACATTTCTCATTAAGACCATATATTTTTAATCATATAGACCATGCAATTGAAGTTTTTTTTTATATCTTCAATTACCGCTAAAACGACCATTCAGTTGAACGATGAATGCTAAAAAGGCGAAAGTAATCTGAACTCAGAAAGATACAAAATGGTAATACAATGTTTAAGTTGTTAAAGTTGAATAGGAAAATAGGTTATTATATCTGCTTACGACTTTCAGATTTGAGTACGTGAGTTTTATAAAATATTACTTTTTCTAGACGAAAATTAATTATTAAATAAGTCTATGGTTGGCAGTTGCTCAACATATCATGACTATGAAAAAAATATATCATTCTTACCGTAATGTTAAATGTTTTGCTTGACAAAACATTCAATGCTGATCAAAGCATTCTAAAAGCTGCATGTAGGAGTTTATCAAGTATGCATAATTAATTCAAAACAGAATTGTCCACCAACTGAAACAAGAGGGGTAGTTTAGTCTTTTTAGCATGTGCTTTAGACTGCACGATCTTTTTGGTGGGAACTGGGCTTTTGGAACAAGTTTTAGTTAACGGCCCATTTGAGGAAAAAATAGTTCGATGGCCAAAATAAAGACCACCAATATCTGGATGGCCCCATAGGTATTTTCATTTTTTCAAATAGTACCTTCTTGTTTACCATTGGATTATGGGAAGTAAATAAATAAAATTTAACTTATGAGTAATTATGGATTCATTGTTTCACCTTTACTTATGTATACTTCCAAAATGGTGGATGAGTGTTTGTTGGAAGTGGTTGAATTAGCTGACTGAGATCTAGACTGGTCTTAAAAGTTAAAAGTAGAACTATAACCTTATTTTTCTTCACTCTCTCTCGTAGCTTTAGGCATCTTTCTTTCATCTGCATTTCTATGGTTGACTAGCAATCTAACAAGTGGATGGGAAAAAAGGTCATGGGCGAGATGTGTGAAACGGGTAAGAGAAGGCAAGTGAAATGTTTCATATGAGTTGTTTACCCCTGCAAAGATGAGTGCTTGAGTTTTTTTCATGGATTACGTTTCATGCTTCTCAGACATATTAGTAGATTACTAGTTATATATCTATGCAATGCAGCGGAATGTGAAATTTTACTGTAAATAAAAAATTGAAGCAATTTTTATTAAAAAAGAAATATATGGAGTATTATGTCGTATTATTAGTATTTGAATGTGTTTATGAATTAGTTATCAACTAGTTTTATGGAGTTCAATCATGGAACTTTAGAAAGTTGTATGTATGCAACAATAAGTTGTAAACTTGAATTTTAAGAACATTAGGTAAATGTGTACATCTTAGTAAAAGATATGATGGTTTATGATTTCTTTAGATATTATATTTGACCAATTAATGTTCTTTGATATCAGGAACGGAGGAACAGGAAGAGCCGCACGGCCAGCATGGACAGTGAATCCATGGGTGGTTCTGCTGACATAGAACGCCCGCCAGAAATCTGACTGGATCCTTTCAACAGATTAACAGAAACCGTTAACGGGTTGAAATATGATCATTCTTGGTAGATTTTACTAGCAAGGGTGAGTGATGTAAAACCGAAAATCAATGGAAGAAGATGTAAATCACATGACAAGCCTAAACAAGAGACAAGGTTTCTTTCATTTTCTTCTTTTTGTGTTGATAATAATCTAAGATGAATGAAGTTTTTGGTTCTCATATTTTTCTAATTCAGGTTGGATGGACAACCCATTTGTGTCTGTAACAGTCTTGTTTAATAGACAGGTCTTACTGTTTGTGTGACCATAGAACTCTTCTAATCTCCTCTTTCTAACTTGCAAATACTGTTAGTAGAGGACGGTCTGTGTACATCCTATTCTCAGACCCTGACCCTGACCTTATCTGTACATGAGATTTACTGTGTTTGTTTAATTTTGTTTTGTTAAAGTGTCTTTCGTCTCAAAATCTGATGACAACCATGATTTTATGTCTTTTTCGTGCTAACAAAATACCCTCCATTTAAGAGAGGTGACCCCTTTTTTTCTACGAGGTGCTAAGAGCTTGACACGTGTCCCACCCAAAAGTGCATTTTTGTTTTTTACGAGCTACGATGTTTTTGTTAGTTGTTAGATTCTATAACACAAAAAAACGCTTTTAATGGAACACTTGTCAAGCTCTGAGGACCTCCAAAAAAAGGGTATTTCTTTTGTTCTAGGGGCAAAAACAAAAGGACTAGTTAAAAGGGTATATTAGTAATTAACCCAATAGATTAAGAGTTCACTCTATATTTCAGTTACATATTATATTTTCATAATGATTTTAAGAATAATGTAAAACTCCAATTGTCATTGATAATCTATGTTATGTTGTTCAATTAAAAATGATGCAAGAGATTCGATTATAAGAATATAAGCCATGAATAAATAACAATTTTTAGTTAGATATGTAACTAAAGAAAATAAAAACTACAATGATAATATTGAGTTGGATACCACATCATTCGCCATATCAGCATGATAACCGGTTAATGCTTCAACCGTTTACCCAAGTACTTAAATGTATAAAACTTCACATATTAGGTACCAAAATGGAAGTTCTGAAAGTATGTTACCCAAAATAAAAATCAAGTTAAAAGTATGTTACCTTTTCATGTAATTTGTCTTTTTCTTAATATCATAATTCATATTAATTTACAATATATCGTTGAAGTATACGAAGAGACACTTCGTACGAACCCACTAATCGAGTCAAAGATACAAGATGCACCAAAATTCAAGATATTGCGTAAAAAGATATCTCAAAAGTAATACATTGAGTTTGCTCTTCAGATGTCACCCGTTCAAGTTTCCTTATGGCACTGCATGGTTTCTAGGTTTGTCTAGTTGTTAAATTTAGAACCCCATGATGCTCCTCAACGCCGAACAGTTCAATTTCTTTTGGGGTCGCCGGAGGGTTTGTCTTACAGTTAACTTAGGACCCGAGAGAATTAGTCGAGATTGCAACTAAAAAAAATGCCAAGAGGGTAATGATTTTCTTAACAAGGTATCAAAGTAGTAGTTTCACCAAACGATGTCTTTTCAGAAGAGGGATGTTAAAACCAAACCATATATAAACTGGTGAAGCCCAATGCTGTAGAGAAAAAGCAGTCCATTCAGAAGCCTCAAGTCAGCAAATATAAGCTTTCACAATTCACTCTATAGGTCATTTTTCACAATTCATTCACTCTATAACCGAAACAGGTAACAAAGAAAAGACGTTCTTTCTTCACCGAGCGTTGCCATTGCTACGTCTACGGCTGATGGTAGGAATCCGATGTTTGTTCTGGTTGCGTATCATCTGGTTGTCTAAATGTGGGAACATGAGGATGGTATGCACTTCCTTCCTGCTGCTGAGTATCATTTGTCTGCAGAAATACGGGAATATCCAAGCTGTTTCCTTCAGTATCCGTGGCGATTTCCCTCACATCGGCTATTCTTGCTTCTGTTGCCTCTATATCATTCCATTCACCGTCACCAATTGGACGGATACGGGTTTGGTCCACTGCTGGTGCTGGGTGAACTAAACTTCTTTCTGACACTGGAATATTCCTTGAGACGCTAAGGCATGCTTTATCCACGTTCTCTTCGGATGGATGTACATGTTTTGTTAGGGGCTGTGTATCGCCATCTGAGCAAGACTCCCCTCTCTCCTCGAGGACTTCCTTAGTATTCTCCTGCTGCCTGCTAATAAAACATGAGCATCAAATCAGCAACATGGGGGGTCGAATTATACAGATAAACACCAAACATTATCACATAGTTTCTCCACACCAAGGCTACGTGCAAACTAGGCGATAAGCTAGCTATTAGCTGAAAATTGCAGATAAAGTAGTCATATTTGGTAAAAACTAGCTGATGAGCTAAATGACAACATGAATTGACGGGAAAAAAATGTTAAAAATTTACTTGGAAACGTATGCGATATAATTGAAAAAGGGCCCTGGAGCTTATAGTTAAGTAGCTTTCAAAAATTTAGATTGTCTTAACCAAACGAGGCTTTTTCAATAAGCTCAAAAAATAAGCTAGCTTATAGCCGCCACACATGGCCTAAAGCATTTAAAAAAGTTAGCTTATGGCTAACCAAACGAGGCTTTTTCAATAAGCTCAAAAAATAAGCTAGCTTATAGTTGCCAAACATGGCCTAAAGCATAGAATGTTAGGACCAAAAAATGTCCACACTGTGCATGAAAACTCATCAAAAGCGTGTTTGGTACGCAGGATATTACAGGACAGAACAAAAATCTGTTCACGTTTAGAACGATTTTCAGACTGGTACAGGACTAAGTGGAACATAAATGCATTTTTTGGTCGCACCAAAATAGGTGGAGCAAAAACGGGGGTGATGGAACATGGTAAGTAAATCACTAAACTACCCATGTCAAATTAGAACCTAAAAACCTTCCACAATTCTTTCATCTGCCTACATCCCCTCTCGCCCGTCCAGTCCAGTCCCGTTTTGCATACCAAACGCACCCCAAAGAACATAGTGGAACTACAAAATCAGGAAGTAACGTAGTGTACTGAAATGGGTTCAATCAGCTAACAAACCTCTTAAGTTGTAATTGTAACATATTAATGTATGCCAAAAGCTCTTGATTCTGATCTCTAGCAGCACTCTCTTTCTCTGTTGCCTCTTTTATTACAGCTTCAGCCTCTGCCTCCTTAACTCTAACCTTCTCCTCAGCCCTGACAACTGCTCCTTCTAAAATGACTACACGTTCCCTAGCCTTTGCAAGCTCAGAACGCCATAAAAGTGCCTCCTGATGAGAAGAGTCTCGTTGCTTGATAAGTTGTTCTCTTTCTTTAGTCAAAACCATGACCTTTTCTTCAGAATCTCTTAGCTATAAAACCAAAATAGCAATATAAAGTTAATATCAAACAACATCTTATCAATCATGCACCCGTTTTATTTCTCCATCTATAAAATCAACACATGTAGTATGCTGCTCCCACCGTCCCAAAATAAATGTCCATAATGAAACTGACATGTTAGTGAAGTATAATTATTACACCTTTTAATTAACTACTAAATGACAATTTTATCCTTAATAATAGAGGGAGTAATGAATTTCCCCATCTCATAACTAAGGGTAGAATTAGAAAGCACGCACTTATTTTGGGACAGACTGAAATAGGAATGTGGACATTTATTTGGGATGGAGGGAGTATAAATGTAAACTTTGTTGCTCCTCTAATGGAAAGGAAAAGATTGGACAAGAATATATACAAACCTTCAAACTGTAAGACATTGCTTGTTTTTCCAACTCTTTCTTTAAGCGCTCGACTTCTGAACTAGCAATTCTCCTTTGCTCATCCATCGTATGAGCTGCAGATGCTGCACCTTCTGCTGCTTCAGCTGTCTCAGTTAGCTTCTCTGCTATCTCTTTTATTGTTGAATCCCTAGCACGAATATCCCTGGCTAAATTTTGCAGCTCTTCGTCTTTTACTCGTAGTGTCTCCTATGGTAATAATCATCACTTCAGTGATGGCAGATAATGATATTCTCAAAAGATTTCATTTAGTTAAACGAAGGTATATTAAGCCAACGAGAAGATTGCAGTTTCCAAAAAGGGACTGTATGAAAGGTCCCAATAGAGTATATTGAATCCAGTATGATTGTAACAAGCTTAACAATTTCATATTAAATGTACATGGAACCATCTTAAACAGTTACATAATTTATAACATCACAGCATACAAAAAGTGAAATATTTTCCGGTAACTTTACAGACAAGCATCAAAAGTTTTACGACATCCTGATAAGGAATAAACCAATTTGCCATTTATATATAATGTTCCTATTTTGCTTTCTTGTAATCTAAATTTAACTATGATAGAATAATGGTTTTAGAAATATTTTTTGGCACTTGCAAGATATTTCATACCTTCATGATTGTCAAATCATCCATGGGGCCATCGAGTGTTTTGTTCATCACTGATTCCAAAGCATTCCTCCTAGCAATCTGCAGTGCAGCTTCAATTTCTTTGGACGATTTCAGGGCAGTTGAATTTGCAGCAGCAACAACAGCAGATACTGTCCCTAGTTTTGTAGAACTATTTCCAGCTAACGAGTTCACAGCTTCTTTGTGAGCCCTTAATACCAACTGTGTTGCACTGTAATTTTTGTAGGAGAAAAAACATACATCAGTAAACTAATTGTTCACAATGATAGGAAATTTGTGTCTGCTTCTGTTTGCAGAAGTAAGTTAAAACACTCTCAAAGTTGAAACACACCACAAAAGCCAAAGCTAACAAGAAACCAAAAGAAAATAACCCCCGTGATATTTTGGGATCTCCTGAACCCTTCCGGATCTGGCTAAGCCTTGTAAGCATCTTTTAACGCACTTTTACCAGTCTGTGTCCCTTATTTAAAGCTTCATAAAATCCTAACAGCATGCACAACACATAACTTTCCAAAAAGCCTGTACTTTTGATTACTCCATTCCATAAACTACCATCCTTTCTAACTTGAATAGTTCCATGATAAGGTTCTATTAATGGTCATCCAAAAAGAAGAGACCAGTCACTGGCCTAAAGATATCTTAAAAGTGATCATAGCAAGAGAAAAGCTAACTTTGAACAAAGCAAAAGCAATGAATAACTCACTGCAATGTCTCCACCCAAGCTCTAGCCGCACCTGGAGTCTCTGCACAGAGAAAATATTCTTTTTTCTGTGGTGTTGCAATATCTAATAAATCAAGTCAGGGTCATACATGTAAATGTTTCTGCCATTCCCATATTTGAGATATTATAACATGATAAGAATGCAAATGAATGAATATCTCTGGATCTTTTGCCCTAATACTTGCATATCTTTTGATTCTTCAAAAGAAGAGGGGAAAAATTCAACTAAAATAGAAAAAGATAACAATATGTAATAGGGGTGGATACAAATAATGCAGTTATCATACTTCGGTAGTCCACTGAAAGTAAAAAAAAATATTAGATTCTAAATCATCTGATATCCAACATATGCCTTTCAGATTGATGTTATCATGTTCAGCAATGATCTTACTGGAAATTATAGGGTGATGTCATGATTGTACTATTTGAATCAAAGGTGATCGTTCCTTTGATATTTGGATCATTTCTCCTGATTCTGCAGACGTTTATAATTGTTAGAAATAGAGACACTTGAAGAAGGCAGATGTTCCAATGATAGGAAAGTATTTGGTGCACAGCATCTTACTTGTATTCCATTTTTCCTGTTGTTGGGTCTAAGATCACCCATCTCTCGTTCCATTTCCTCAACTATTGCAATAAAATAATGGAAGCCAGAGGTCAGACAAACAGCTAACTAATAGTCTGCTATTAACCATTTAGACGTAGCACAATTTAATTATAATTATTATATGTGATGAAAAATCAATAAGGCCAACTGAAAAAGTAGATAAACAACACAGGGGTTTATCAAGAAGTCCTTGCCGGTAAACCCCAGAGAGAGAGAGAGAGGGTAAGATTTCTGTAGAAGTTAGGAGATTGCAAATATGCAGAGATAGGCCACCAAAAACCCTAGCACAACTACTTGCTTTCCAAAATGGCCAGAAGAAAAGAAAACAATGAAGCTTACTCATATACTTCATCTGATACACACACAGACACATACATACAACTAGAGTCGGTAGGTTGGGGGTCTTAAAGCAGTAGATGGGCATAAAATGGATTGAGCCAAAAATGCTTAACTGCTGCCTTAGCATCAAGTGTTCACTCGCAAATTCAGTTATTTAGGCCGCTCAATTGGGTGCCTAGACACTACCAACCCCATCGCTTTGATTAGCAGGTTACTGAATTATGAGTTCCTACAAAATGATGTGGAGAATAAGCTTCTTCCAACTTGTGCTCATCAACTTCCCTCCACTAGATAGTAACCTCCACACATTATCAGTAAATGAATCAACAGTCATTTGCAAAAGTAATTTTACAAATATAATCTCATGTGTACACATAATGTAATAATAATTATAATTTCATATGTTTAAACGAACCACTTAATACTTATGTGTCCATCCACTAAATCCCTTCTTAGGCCATTATAGCGCCACATGGTCACTAGACTACCTAGCATCGCTTAATGCTTTGGGTCGTCAAATTTTCTGTTCGGTCAGAACTAAACCAGGACATGGATTCAAGACATGCTCAACATTTCACTTATAGAGCTTTTCAAAGAAAAACATTTCACTTCTAGTAAACTATATTAATAAAATAATAGTATAAACATGGATATGATTAGATCTTTCATTTTCCTTGGACTTTCTCCAAACTTTCCTGTGCCAACAAAACATTGTACAAGAGCGTGACGAAAGTTGCAAGTGTGTTTGGCCAACCACTTTTTGATGTCTAGTGTGTCACTTGCTTGTTTAAGCCTTCCATCGATTAAGACCACCAAGCTTTCATCCTCTTCCTAACCCTTACATAAGACCTTAAACGTATTCGAGTACACACCACAACTGCTACTTTGACATGTTGACTACAACATCGAACTAGTGATCCAACAGAATAAATCCCTGATACTATCTTACTCAAACATACATTATCTTGGAACAGTTTTCTCAAGCCTGCGTCATTCTAAGCCAATTACAGAAGTCAATTGTTCTAAATTATATCACTCTTGGGGGTAAATTTCAATCTAGCATATTTATATTTAAACCAAGTTTTGTTCTTTTTGATAACGTAGCTCCAAATTTCCGTATGTTGCAAAGTAGATCAAATTCATGAAGGAGAAAAACAACTTGGTCCAACCCAAAAAAAATCATGCAAACAAATAAGCTGTGTAGAAGGGTTGCATTTTAATTCTGTAAACACACTGATAAAGTACAACCACAACTCTAAGTCCAAAATGAAGAGTGAGATGTAGATGCTGCAATCATTATCATCACACTCTTTGCTACCATCTTATTAGCGGTCCTAACTAGTATTCTTCGTCTATATGAGATACAGGAAGGGCAAGCGAGACATGAATAGAGATACGAGAGAGAAAAGAAGATTCTTGACTCCTTCATATGTTTGCCACCCTTGCCTCATTGGATTAGCCAATCTTTTAGCTTTTGCAATTAAGGATAAGGGGGAGAGTGGGAGAATGTGTAATAGAAAACGAACTTCAGATCTACAAGAGGAATTGCTTATCAAATGAAAAGGTCGTCCAACTCATGGTTAACCAACAAACCAAAAGGACCAAGCAACTTGGTTCGCCACCCATCACGTTGATATGAAAGGGCATCACAAACGGTTTCCTCCTTAACACCATAGGCAATTTGATTGAATTGCCAAGCAAGCTTGACAAAGATAGAGATGGTTAGAGGTGGAATCCGTAGAAGTGACCCTGCAAAGGGATTTGTCTTAATCCATAGAATGAAGTTGCTTGCTTGAGTCAAACAGAAGCAAAAACAAGGTGATGAATAGGGTTTTTAACAGCAGCATCAATGGCAACAGCTTTAACAATACAGGTCAGTTGTACGCAAATCAAGAACAAACACTATGCTTCAGCTGTTGGCTAGGAACCGCCACCACCAGATGCATATTCTGTTGTGCCTTTTGGTAGTCCTTTCTAGCAGTTCTAGTCGTGGCATAACAATGCGCTAGACCGTTTGTGTCCTTTGTACTCTAGGACCTAACGCATCTTTACACAACTCACCATTATATACATGTAAAAACCTGATGTTTTCTACGAAGCACCAATCACCTAATTATTATTTTCCTTAATCCTTTCGACTCATTCACACACAATGACACAACTAGCATACATGTGGTGCCACATGCAAGACAAATACTCGTGAGGTTACTTCTTTGAGTTGCAGGTATAATTCAGTTTGTACTTCAGATCAAATGGTGCATCCAAGTTTCTTTCTTCCACAGAGCTCCGTTGATAAGTAGTCATGACTGATTGTAAAAAGCACATCTATATGAATCATATAAGTTCTCATGCTCCTAAATTTCAAGATTCTTGATTGTTAAGAAAATATTTAGGAAGGCATGAAAGCTTTTCATTTATCAACTGGCTTGTTTTTTTTCCTGATTGTTAGTTGGCCTAAATTTGATAAGATTATATCTTCCATCAAATATTAGGGCATTTATGTTTCCACTGTTCTCCAAGCAGAATTAGGGTTTCATTTCCCTATAACTAAAGTCATAATCCACAAAGCTTTAGAATTTCCATGTCATGAGATATGTAGTTCTGAAAAGTATTGGGAGGTTTCAATTTTCATCGAGTAATCAATCAATCCATCAAAAACTGAATTGTTTTCATTTAATAGCTTGTGAAGCTCAAGGCATATGATGGTCTTGTAAATATGTTTCTTCCCCAATTCCATGATCCCTTTCAGTACTTCCAAATTACATTCCTGATCGTTAACCAAAAACATCAATTGGAAACCTACTCAGTCACCCAGATGTGATGTCACAAAGGTAAATTAGGGAAAAAAACAGAAAATTAACGAATTAAACAAATTCCGTAGTCGAAAAAAGATATGACTCCAAACTAAAACAGAAGGAAGGAACAACTGAATACCGTTTCAGATCTCTTGAGAAGAGGACCCTGCAAGAGGTTTCTACCCGACCCAGATGCCAATTGTCGTTTAATCTTATCCAAACTGGCTTCGGTACCCCCATCTCCATCTCTCTGATAGATAGACCCAAGAGATAACAACCGTAATCAGTTAAAACCCAAACCAATCAAACCATCTTGAGCAAGGAATAGAGAAGGATCGATAAAAAAGAGTGTAATAAGAAAGAAACTGACCAGAGAAGATGCCCCATTGGTAGCCATAGTAGTAGAAGATCCAGTCAGTTTCGAGATGAGATCAATCAAAATTCAGAAATGAGAACGATGATCTTCGAAGGGTCTGTTGGGTTTATGAGTTGTAGTTGCAGTTTTCTCACATTTACTTGGTCGATTCGGCGGGCCCCTTTCGGCACCGTAAAGAGCTATCGGAGAAACCCGCACTATTCCGACGACTACGACTTATATTTGAGTAAACTGTAAATTTGGTCCCTATGGTTTGTAAAAATTAACACTTTTGTCCCTTAAGTTTTGAAATTACAAGATTACCATCGTGATTTGTAAAAACATCCGGATTTGATTTCTCAATATAACATTTGTCCCTTAAGTTTTGAAATTACAAGATTACCATCGTGATTTGTAAAAACATCCGGATTTGATTTCTCAATATAACATTCATTAAAGTTTCCGTAAAATGAGAAATATTTTCGTTCTCTTATTGGGTTTTTATTTTTGTCTTTTTCTCACTCAAAATCACAGAGACCAAAATCTTGAAATTGATTTTGATTGAATAAAAAATAAAATAAAAATCGGTAAATAACCAAAAATGCTCCTCATTCAACAAATTTAGACATTTTTATAAATCATGATGACCATCTTATAATTTTAAAACTATAAAAACAAAAAGTGTTATTTTCAATAAACCACAAGGACCAAATTTGTAGCTTACTCCTAATATTTTAATCTTTAATAAAGCTGGACAATTAAATGATAATTATTAAAAAACAAAATAATCAGATTTGAATAATAAACTAATGATATTGTATAAGAAAATTGATTACTTGCATAAATATGAAACTACATTATTATTATTATTATTATTAGTAATTTCATAACTATACTTTAAACAGTTCTTATATGAATTTATTCAACTAAAAACCACATATAACACTTATGGAAAACACTTTATTGTGAGACCATTTTTTTACACTTGAAACTTCATAGCAAAACGATATGAAAGTAAACTTCACGGTGTTTTTGTTGTGAATATTTGACTTTTTTTTATCTTCACAACGTTTTGTTGTGAAGTTTCAAATGTAAAATAGTGGTCTCACGGATCTCACGAAAACAGTTTGGTCCCATGTGAACCCAACCCTATATATACACACACACACATACATACGTACATACATACACATATATACAAAACTAACATCGTGTATATATACATACACCATCCTCTAAAGCGCTTTCACTATACTGGTCTCACGGGTTTCACGAAAACAGGTTGGTCTCACGTAAACCCAACTCTATATATATATATATACATAAACACACACACACACATACATACATACACACGCACATATATACACAACTAACATCGTGTATATATACATACACCATCCTCTAAAGCGCTTTCACTATATTGGTTCTATGTCTATCATCATAAATAAAAATCACAATATTACCTGGATTCAAACCTCGTACCTCACTTTATGATTCCCACCCCATATAATTTCGATAGGGTAACGACCAAAGATGTATGTATAAGGCCCTGACCTTCAAAGCCCGTTTTCAATAAGTAAAAAATAAGAATCCGGCTTTTAAAGAGAAAAAAAAAACTTAACCCAATCGGTCTTTTAAGCCTGGTCCGGTCCTTGGCTTTGGGCTTTTCGGGCCGGGCTTGGGCCTTTTGCACATCTGACTAAAGATTGGGCTTTTAATTTGGCCTTTTCTTTTATACATTAATCCAACTACATCCCAAGTCTTTCCTGATTGCCTTATCAACCATCTCCTTCCTCACCTTTAAACCATCTTCCCAGTTACCATCTTCACAATAAATTTTCGACAATAACACGTACCCTGCATTGGTCTCCGGAAACATCTCGAATAGCTTCTTCGCACCCGTTTTTCCGAGCTCTACGTTACCATGTATCCGACATCCGTTAAGAAACGATCGCCATATAGCCGGCCAAGCTAGAAACGGCATTGACTCAATCACACTCTTGGCTTCTTCCAGATGTCCATTTCTCGATAGTAAATCAACCAAACAACCATAGTTATCTGGAGACGGATCCATTTTGTAATCTAATGAGATCGATCTGAATAACGTACGGCCAAGATCAACAAGACCCACATGACTGCAAGCCGATAAAATTGACACGAATGTGGATTGAGTCGGCTTTAGGTTCGCGGATTTCATCATCTCGTAAACTTCCATTGCTTCCGTTACACGTCCATGAGTAGCGTACACCATTATCATTGTATTAAAAAGAGCTACATCAGCAAACCTGCACGACTGGTGAAAAGCGATGGCGGCACTCGTGATATCGCCGCTTTTTCCGTAGGCGTCTATGATTGAGCTAGCAACGTGTTCATCAGTATCGAGCCCGATCCTGAAAACTCGTCCGTGGACGGATTTCGTTAGGTTGAGAGACGCAATGCTAGCACAAGCGTTCAAAACGCTACCGAAAATGAACTTATCGGGATTTTGTCCATCTTCTTTAAGACGATCGAGAAACCCAATGGCTGTTCTTGTGTAGCCTTGATCTACCAATGTCGAAATCAGAGCACCCCAAGAGACCAAATCCATTTTGTCGTCAAAGAAAGCGTATGAATCGGTCAGAAATCCGAATTTAGCATAACCGTGGATTAGTGAACTACATATGTACCCGTTGGAAGCGAAACCGGATTTGATTATAATCCCGTGAACTTGTCTACCAACTTGCACATTTTCGGTCTTGAAACATGCTTCCACAGCACAAGAAAAGGTGATCTCATCCGGTTCGACACTCGAACCCCACAAATTGGTGAAAAGCTTAAGAGCTTCGAGATCGGAACTCCAGTTATACCCGTGGATCATCTCGTTCCAGTTTTGGACGTTTCTTGAAGGCAACGAATCGAAAATCAAGCGTGCGGTTTCTTTGTCACTGCATCTACAGAACATGTTAATAAGACAGTTGGAGACATGAGGCTTACCATTTAATCCGAGCCGAATTGCAAGACCATAAAACTGCAGACCTAAATCAACTTCAAGAAGATCTCCACACATACGGAACAAGATTAAGAACGTTATCCTATTGGGCTTTAATCCCGTGAACATAAAATCAGTGAACAAACTTACAACTTGTTCTACGCCTGCAATCTGAGAAGAAACGGCTAAAACGGTATTCCAAGATGCCATATCTTTGTCCTCCATTGTTTCGAAAAGCTTCCAAGCATGATCATTCGCACCAGTTTTGAAATACATATCTATCAATGAATTTGTTAATGTAATTGCCGATTCAAAACCATTTCGAACAATCAGACCGTGAATCTGACTTCCGAAATCCAGTTCAGATGTAATTGAGCACGCATTGAGAGCATGAATGAAGGTGAATTCATCCATTAGGACTCCTTTAGAGTGCATAGAAGATACAGTATTCACAGCTTCAAGGCCATATCCACATTGTGCATAGCCTCCAACCATAGCATTCCAACAACCAAGATCTGAACCATTCAGACTCTTGAAGAACTGTTCAGAAGCTTCAATACCTCCATATTTGGAATACATGTGCAGAATTGAACTAGCTACGAAATCGTTTTTGTCCATTCCAATCTTGACGGAAAAACAATGGATGCAGAGACCGAAGTCAATTGCTCCCATACTGATACAAGCTTTCATAATGCTACCTAAAGCAAACTCGTTGGGCAGGAAATACCCAGTTCGTATCATATAAACAAATGAATCCAGAGCCACCCCATACTCGCCATTTTTATTTGCTCCAGATATGATCAGAGTCCAAGAAACAAGATTTCTCTTCGGCATTTCATCAAAAAGTTTGCATGCATCACCGAACACCCCAGAATTGGCATACATCTTTATTGAATTGTTTTGAGAAAAAATGTCATTTGATAAACCTAGTTTGACTATATGACCATGAATTTGGCTTCCAAGAACAGATGATTTTGAGCTTCCGGCCAAATTGAGAGCTTCACTTACAGTGCTTACATCCTTCAAACAAGAGTGTGGGATGTAGAACCTTTTGGGGTAATAGAAAGATTGGCTAGCAAAGATGGAATTATGCCTGTTTAGGGCTAATAAGCCTCGCATTTACACGAGAATAATCTTTTGCCTCGACCCAGATGCCACACCGTACCCAGCTAGGTATTCGAGAAATCGACAGCAGATGCTCCTCATGTTAACCCCCAAGGGGGGGTGGGTGGAAATGGCCAAAGCTGGTGCCTAGCATGCTGACACTGACAGATTAAGACCTGCAATGATCAAAAGCAAAAATTTAGAACATAAGGAGTATCTAAACTCCAACAACTAAACTTTTAAGGAAACAATACATGTTTTCAGGGGTCAAAACCCCAAATATGTCATGGAGGTTAATTGGTGGCCTTAAGACAAGTATGGTTCGTAAGATCATAGTCTGATGAAAAAGAACATATGGAAGTACGATTCACTGTATAACCTGATTTTTGTGAGGTGTTAAGAGGGTAGCATGTGACACTTATGGAATGGGTACACGAGTTCTTAGTCAAGAGGGTTATCTGATAGCGATATTTAGTGGATTGTCTAAATGTCAAGAAACCTCATCTTCTATGGGTTGCTAAAATGATAAGACCTTTAGATGCATTCAGAACACAAAGATCAATGAACCACCCTTTAGAATTTAGAGGTATAATGGTATATTATTTCAAAACAAAAAGGATCTTTTGAATAAATGGGAGGGAAAGGTTGTGTACATAAGCTTCCCTCCCTCACCTATGGAAAGCCAAGGAGTTTTGGTGCTCTTAGGTCACCCTTTTTCCTGAAGATGAAAATTGAACATGACCTCACAATTACATGCTAGCATTGAAGCCTTCGTAACACACACACAAATTACATATGCATATACAAACAATGCTAGCATGTAATTCTGATGTCATGTTCAATTTTCATCAATAGGGAATAAGGTTACTATCTCTACGTACAACCTCAGAGGTAAGCTATATAAAATAATACTTATTCCAAACGAAAACTGACTGTTAAATAAGTCTATGGTTGGCGGTTGCTCAACATGTCATGCGTACGAAGAATGCATTATGTTTCAAGACCCCAAATATGCATGGAACACCTGCAAGTCTGCAACAATGTAAAAATAAGTAATGCACTGGCTAGAGAAAATTATTGAACACAGGCACCCCTTTGCATGGTAGACAACAAAAGAACCTTCACCACTCATAAGAGACGACCACACCACTACACGCATGAAACAATGCTAGACCATATATCATATGGACACTGCATATAGAAAGAAACCATTTGGAGAAATAAGAAATATCCACAATAACAGATCGCGGTTTGTCTTACAAACCACTACATCCAAGTATCACTTGACCTTTGTCACTCCCTATCTAGTGCCTAAAAATTTCATATATATTTCATGGTCGTGCCTTCTGACTGTAAAACTTAAAACCTGAGATTCCATTATCCCCCTCTACCACCAACCAGAAAAGAACCAAGTGACGAACCTACCATACTCGAAAATGACCAGTATATGAAGCACAAAGTAGACCAGTTTGACTCCTAACTATTAAATAGACCTATTCTGTCCCAACTATTTGCCATATATTTCCATTCAGTTAAGTATTCACACGTTCTGCTAACGGCGATCACAAAACAAATTCTCAAAAGCAAGTTCACAATAAGATGAGAAAAGCTATCTAGATTGATCCTTTAAGTTTTTAACAAGAAAGTAGAATAGCAACCATCAGATCAGATAGAAGTTCCTGTACATATATTACTAATCCTTATGCCCTCCATTGATCAGAAAGGAGAAATGAATGCTGAGTGGTGGAGGGAAAGACATGATTTTGGCTTGGTTTCTTATACAGCATTGCAAATTAACCATGTATTCATTCACAAATTCCAAACAGGCATTAATTTTTTTTTATAAACATATTGCAAACACACCTTTCAAATATTTTAAATGCGTATATGTATTAAGCAAAATTGGTTCAATCTGTCGAACCACTTCTTGCAAACACTCATATTCATATAGACAACACAGTATGTGTACATATATAGACGGCGAACATCGTCTGAGAAGGAGAGTTAAAGGTGACCCACCCATGACTCTCCTTCCCACCCAAACACAACACATATATAGACACTGACATTATGTATGTGTGTATATATGCGAAAGTATCCCTAATTTTCTTTCAGAAAAGAAGAACCATAACTTACTTGTTGGATTTGCTGATCAACCGAGAGGGTTAATTGTGGAAACCAAACTTTTGGAGTTTCGCGTTTAACTTTGATTTTCGTTTAAGAAGCAGTGAGCAGTCAACCTCAACAGATCATACTTGAAAGTTGAGACTGTTAATGAAATTATAGACCAAGTGTGAGGATGACGATGAGGGTGAGTGTGCGAGAGTACCGTCATTCAGTTTGGGAGCTTTCGCCGGAAAATAGGACCGCCGGAGTCTGGATAGGAAAAGACGATAAATTGTACCTTATGCATTATGACTTGTACATGAAACTTGAGAAAAGGTGTTCTCCCCACCGCAACCATTCAAGGTGTTCTCCCCACCGCAACCATGGACGCGCCTCAGCTTGTCGACAACCCTGTGGGTGTTTGGTTTAATTTGTGTTTGGGTTGTTTTTAATCGGTAGGGCTATCTTCGTTTTTCAGGGGTGTTTCGGATTGCTTATGAAAACAAGACTTATTTCGATGTAACATCGGTAATAAGTATTTTTGAGTGTTTGGATAAACGGTTTATATCGATGTCAAACCGATAATAAGAAGTTTGTAAAAAAGTTAAATCATTCTAACTTATAATAAGTTGATAAGTGTTTTTGTAAAAAAACATAAGTTATTTCAAATAAGCAATCTCAAACACTCCGTCACTACCAAAACAATCATATGTTAACTTGTTAACAAAGAGGTCTTAATTTAAGCCCTTGGCACCCCATGACTTGATGCTTGCTATTTTTTAGGCTTTATTAGATTTTTTTAATATTTTTAGGGTCTTATTTTTAGTTATTATTTTTTTCAAAGGTGTCTCAGATTATATCTGGATTAATCTTGCAAATTGTAACTGTAAAAAATCAATCATGAATAAGTGAGTATAAAACATATAGAAGGGGTTTCAAATACAAGCCGTGTCATTTTTACGAACCCTACATCAGCCCTAATCAATCGGTTTGTTCTGGCCCATAACATCTGGATGGTCTACATTTTGAAATCGTAAAAATAATCTACTTCAATTTAAAACCAACTCCTAGAAGGTTGTTTTGATTTTGTTTATTTTGAAAAAATGCGGCTATCAAATGGGGATGAACGTAAATTTAGGAACTTGTTTGATTCACACGTTTGAAACTCCCTATATATAATACACAGTATATAAATTCGCTGCCATAACTGATGTCTTGGAAAACATCCTAAGACTTGACATCTCCATCACACCACGTCGTATGCCGTTTAGAACCTTGTATGGTATCAAGGTTTTTCTTCAATACCATGCATCAACCAATTATAATTAGTATGTAAAATCTTATAATGAGTACTAAACAACTATAAAAAATTTGGTTGCTACATGTTAATACCAGTTTTATACCAACTTCAAAGGTTAATTATGACATTGTCATTTTAGTCAAATTTTGAGTTTAGAGGTAACGCACGATGTTTAAAGATTTTTCATAGTAAAAAAATAAAACTCACAAACATTCAACAAAATAATTAAATTTATAATATTTAATACATAAAAAATATAAAAACTAAGAGAAAGGTTCAAAAAAAAAAAAAAACTTTTTCAATTTGAATGGTTTAACCCTAAACTATTTTTTTTAATGAAAAAACAATTAAACCTTCTCATTTTGAATGATTGAGTCCTTGAACATTTTTTAATAAATAAACTATGACACTTTTAAAAATTGATTACCTACATTCTTTTAACCCAAAAAAAGTTATATTAACCGACTAGTAACAGTCCAATGATTTATTTTTATTTTTATTTTTGAAAATCAGGGTCTTGATCATTGAAAATGTGAAAGTTTAATGGTTTTCATCCAAAAAAATTGTTCAAAGACTTAATCATTAAAAATAAGAAATTTTAATAGTTTTTTATTCAAAAAAATTATTTAGGGACTAAATCATTCAAAATGAAAAAGTTTCTTGAGTTTTTTTTGGACTTTTACCAAAAACTAATAACTAATTATAGTACTACCATAACCACAAAGGTAGTKTCTGATTGGTTTAATCTTGACTCCAAAAATCAAAAGTACTAGGAAGTCCCAAGTTCAAATCCAAGGAGAAATAAAAATCTTTTTGTGATCACGGAGGTTCAAATGTGGTGACTCCGGGCTATCTGCAAAGCAGATGGTCACTCTGGGATTAGTCGGCTCGCATAGTGGGTTGGATATTCAGGTTAATCAAAAAAAATTATAGTACTACCATGATACCAACTTCCAAATACTATATACTAACCAAGTTTGCATACTTGATTCATTACTCTACAACCGACAGTAATTAGTACCATTTTAATCGTACAGTTGGTACACAGGTTGACTGCTTTAGTTTGGTACAAATTGTCACCCGAAATGCCGCATCAACGCTGCATTACTAATCGAGTTACCGATGTTTCAAACTTCATGCATTCATCTTCATCATTCATAAAAAAAAAAAGCCAAAGGAAAGTTACAAGTTTCCTTTGCATTTATATTTACATATTTTGTCTAGATGTTTTGTTCTTGCAAACGATACCGTTTCTTGCACAACAAAAAACCAAACGTTCAAACATTTAATCACTTGAAACGAATCCATATTGTTGAAAATCCATGAATTTATGGAGATCTCAACAAGTACTTACAAATATATCTTCATACAGAACTTGGCAACCGCATTGTGGATCAGAACGAAACCAGATTCGTCGAAGGTTGCAGCCGACTACGATCCTCTTTCTCGTCCAAGTCTATAGGTGGGAGTGGCACCTTTCCTAGTTGCTTTCTGTTTAGCAGGAATCTTTCGGTTAACTCTTTAACCACAAACTTTCTACAAAAAATTAACATTATAAAAGGTTGTCGAATCGACTTTTATATTTGAGTGATTGAGTTTATGGATTTTTTTCTTTTGAACAAATAAATCCTTGAAATCAAACAAAATGGTTTTTCTGGCATTATAAAAATGACCGGAACCAGTTATTATGGTAAAAGTCATTATTATTGTGGTTTTTGAAGTTAAAGAAGAAACAAGATGGCATAGAACGCTATTGTGGCCGTTAATAGTGAGAGCGGTTGTCGCAGAGCAGTAATAAATTTTATGAATCATGCCATCTTTTTTTTTTTCTTTAATCTTATCAACAATGTAATAATGATTTTACCACAATACCGGTTTCCGGTCATTTATAGGTCGAAAGACTGGTTTGTTCAATTTCAGTAAATACAGGGATTTATTTGTTCAAAACAAGGTTCAGGGACTTATTTGCTCAAAAAACGAATTTGTTGGTTGTTTTTGGAGATTTCCCATTAAATGCATCACCAAGGGCCGTTTATCAAATGCTTACCGGGTAAGGGCTTATGAGCAAGAGTCACCACCTTCACATACCTTATCAGGAAATAGGCCATAAAAAATGGATGTTGGTAAGTGTCTTTTACCCGGTGAGTGCTCACCAGGTAAAAATCTTTTCGTTCGCTTACCGCACAAGATTTTTGGTCCTTGCTATGCCTCTTACCGAGTAAGTTGCTTGGTCCTTACCATGCTCACCCGGTAAGATAAGTGACACTCGGTAAGCGTTTGGTGAACGGACCCTACTTCCATGAAAGACCATAGATGCAAATGGCAATCCACTGAACCGGCCAATGGTTTGTAGCATCTGAATCATGGCATGTTTCAGTTCAAAATGTGATGTGTGAATGTTGCTTCTAAGCATCTCTGAGCTCTCAATTCATGGAAAACAAGAATAACATGATCCCTCATGCCATGGGTCTTTTCATCAGCAAGGTGGATGGTATTATGTATCTAAGGAATGGGATGAGGTTCATTTAAGGCATTTCCTTCCCCAGCTCTATGATCACAAGTATTCTGTGAGCACAACACCTAGCTAATTGCTCTTTTCTTCTTTGTTTAAAGATATTTTCTATTCCAAGATCATGAAGGAGCTCACTGTGTTGATGTCTGGGCATAACATCACAGACAGCAACAAAAAATAGTAGAAAAATCAGTGTTTCATGAACTTGTAACTCGAACACTTTGGAAATACACCAAAGGGTCATTAGCCCCATGGTACCTAGGTTACTAGTAGGGCTCAGCCTTCCAGGAGGTCAAGGGTTCACACATCACTGAATGTTAGGAGGGTGATTGAGAATCTGCCATATATAAATATAATATACTTCAAAGTGAACACTTTCGAAATATGCCAAATCCCCATAAATTGTGCCTAATAATCCCAGATGTAATTTTGGTGATCTCCTTGAGGTATAGGAGATTACTCATAAAGTTAAACTATGTCATGTGAGGGGTACAATATTTCCTTTTCTTATAATTGCAGTGAGTCACTTGACTATATTTCATACTAGTCACAGGGATGTAGAACCATATAGAGGTGTCACAATGGTTCTCAATCACATGTCCTTAATATACACATGAAGGCATTCAAGTTCTAGTTCATTCTTACGCTAGCCATGCAAGATGTCGAATATGTTTCGAGGCTCGTAACTTGGTATTATGTACTTCTTGGTGAATATCTTGTATCTAAAGAAACAAGAACATGATGTTCCTCTTTGAAATATTGGATCTTTGTCCTCGTTAGGTACAAACTTCTTGTGATTTGACATGCCTAAATCATTTAGCACAGGAGTTATGTTTGCTAGATATGTGCTAAGAAAAATTACCTAAATACATTGCCAAGAATCAAATGCTTCATGAGCATACCCAACACATTGAGGCAGAATGTTTGTGTATATTTTAGTTGGTACGTATATGACCTTTTTATGATGTCATTCAGGGTGTTCTAGACATAGGGTTGCAGCAAACATTTTGAGAAAGCCTCCAAAGGACTTAGACCGATCCTAAATCTGGCAAGTAGGACAAATTCCATATGTACTCAACCTAATCAAGAGTGGTAAAGATATAAGATTCCTATGCATGTGCACTTTTTGCAAATATATGCATCTAAAATTAATATTTCAGGGGTTACTTTAGGGTTTTATATTTGAGGGCGTTGGTTGTCTTGTACTATGTGCATTTAAGCTTTATTAATATAATTTAACTACACTCTTTGAAAACTAGTCTATATAGCAGATGTATATCTTTGATTCTAAAATAAAATAAAAGACCTAGAACAAAGTATCTCTTACCTCTCGGCAACAAGTTTATCCTCATATAAAGCCTTCTCTAATCTTTCCTCAAATGGTGTAGCATGCCAACTAACTTTCTGATCCTGCATAACAAAATCAAATGCAAATATTAAGTCTCACATTGTTTATGTTATTGTTTAACACTACAAAAGATCTAGAAAATGAACAAGCTTTACCTCTTTATACTTGTTAGTTGAATTAGGGATTCCATTGCCATCCCACCACTTGGGTGCAAAAGAAGCGGCTTCATCAGCATTCCAGTGGGCTGCAACCATCCCCAGTATAGGCCTATCCCCAGGAGTTTTGCCAAAGTCAGGGAGACCCTGAGAATTGGGAAGAAATAAACGGTTGTTGCGCCCTTGATGGGCCTGCTTTGGTGGTAGCCATGATGACAAACTAGTATCCACGGTCAACTCTTTGTCAGCTGCAGCTGCTTCGCTTTCCACTTGTGACCGTGGATTTTCTTTGTCAGCAAGATCAAGATGTTCTTTCAATTGAATGGAGCAATCGTCAGAACTAAGACTTTCTTCCGTCAGTTTCCTCAACTGAGCTGCATTTTCCACAGGGTTTAGCACAGGGTACACATACTGAGATCTGATCCTTGGATTCTTCCCAATTGCCTTATTATGTAAATATGAAGGGAAGACAGTGCCAGGGGTTTGCATATCATCAGTTAAACTGAGAGGGGTAGGGTAAGGTGAAGGTTTTGAAACACTGTAATCATCTGGTGATCCATATGGCTTTGGTTCTTGGCAAGTAACTTCAGACAAACAACTTGTTGAAAATGAAGATGCATCTATCTCGCGATCAAATCGAACAGATTTGTTTCTGCACTGCGTGCTTGCAACCAGAGGAGTAAATGAAGCTGTAGGATTCTGTTCCTGAGTAGCATGCACGTCAACAAGTTTTACATTATCTCCAACTCCATAGCCTCCAGCAGAGTTGGTATAGAGCCTTTCTCTAATTTGCACTGTCACACAACTATAGAACACAATCATAAACACCAAAAGTCACCTTTCTGATTGTCACAAGCATACCTCTCATACTAAAAATAGAAGAGTGAAGTTTATCGTAGTATATATCTACGTTTTAAGGATGACTGGCATTTGTAGCCGTTTCCAAAATCAGAAACTGACCATAATTTGAGTGAATGTCAATTGACAAGGCTACACAAAGCCAGCAAACCAACTTTTCAATTATTGCTCAAATAGGAATTACCTGTCCGGTGAATGTGAAGAAGAATCTGATCCATTCCCCCATTCTTCAAAGAGTTTGATTGGAGAAGGCTGCTGATCAGGTTGCTTCTCTAGTTTGAGCTTTTCAATACTAGCAGCTTGAAGCCATGAATGAAATGTTGAAGATTCTGCATCTCCATTGTGAGGTTCTGAATCTTTCAGTTTCCGAATTTCAGCAGGAGTACATGGTAAAGTACCACACGCTTTGAGAAATTTAGCCTGTAGAATTACAATTTCTACTTAGATGGTCGGTCAAAGCAGAGCCTGAAGTTGGTTATTGTTAAAAGTTTGAGCATCAACTGCCTACACTCCTTTTCCATCATATAATTTATAAATACAGATTTAGTAAAAAGCAAATTGGCATGCAATGTTCTATCTATTAAGCTAAAGAGGTATTTCATTTTTTTATAGCATCTAAAATCCTAAGACTAAAACTTGACAAGGAACTAACTTGGACATCTGTACACTAAAATGATATAAGCACCCACTTCTGTTCAGTTATTTAGGCACTCATTAATCGGTAAGAGCTTAAAGAATATTTATAAAATATCTATAATCATTTTTACTTCAATTTTTAATCAAAATTCACCAAAATTATTAACTTTCTAATTTGGATTTATGGTTTATATCGGATCACACAGATTCTACAAATTGCATGGTTCTTAAAAGAAGTCTCATATATACACACACACATAGAGAGAGAAGCAGATCCAAACGAGAAGCCAACTATTTAAGAAAACAAGAAAAAAGTTGTTAATGTACAAAATCATATATGATTCACATATAAGATCATACATGATTCGGCGCAACTTGGTTACGGCAAAAGTCGCATGCTTCTATTTTTTTGACGTTAATGTAAAATCACATGTGATTTTGTATATTAACGACTTTTTTCTTGTTTTCTTAAATAGTTAGCGTTCTCGTTTGAACCTTCCACCCCCCCCCCTCTCTCTCTCTCTCTATATATATATATATATATATATATTAACAGCTTGTCTCACCGATCTCTCTCTAGCCGAACTCCCTATCTCTATCGAAGCTGTGTGAGCACGAGTAATTGAAGCTGTGTGAGATGGAGGATTCAACGAGCAACCGAACCTGGAGAACAATGGTCGGTGTGTTTCGGGAGAGGGGTAGTTGGGGAAAAGTAATGGCTGAGTGGATAGGAGTGTGGTATATTAGCTGAGCGAATCTGCCCCTATTTGACCGATTAAGCTCTTACCGAACACAAAGGTATGGCTGTGCGAATCAGCCATATCGGTTATATGGCTCAATAAGCCGTTACCGAACAGCCCCTAAGACTCTAAGTTTTTGTCTTCTTGTTTTTCTTGGGTCTTAGAAATGGGCACAGAGAGAAGAGTAGATCTGATTAGTTAGCAAAAAATCCATCTTATAAAATGAAACAGAAGGCAAGTAAGTCACTTAAACCAAGAGTTGTCAGAAAGAAAAAAAAATATGCAATTGAAATGAGAATTTGCACAAGCACTAGTAGTGGACAAATTCTAAAAAGCAAATGAAAGATCAAGTTCCTTCAAGAGAAAAAAAGAAAAATAAGAGCATGAAACGAAAGCTCATCTTACTTGGACAAATAAGTTAAAACTTGTGCATCATGCTTCTTAAAAGTTACAGTTTATTGTGACCCAACGCCCTTTGAGTTGTGACTTCTAATTGATCATATTCATTACCAACACCATTTGCAGCTGAGAGTTCAATGTAGAAGACAATAACATAAAATAATTACCTCAGCCTTCAGCTCGTTCGAATAAACATCAGGGACAGCAGATCCTAGAACACCACCTTTTCTGTCCTTACAAGGCGATATATCTCTATCTTCAGCTGAAACGTGAACATACATTTTAACAAATATAATCTGCAAATAAATCCATATTCCGTGAAGCAATTTCTCAAACATCTATCGTGCAGCCAGGAAATAGAACAAAATCAGAAACATAAAATCGGTTTTGAATGAGAGTAGCGGAATTCACTCTAAACACGAACAATTAGTTCGATATTCATGAAAAACTATGAAAGTAAGAGCGCTGATGAGCTCACCTTCAGAAAGTAGCAAGGACGATAAACGATTTCTACCCACAGATGCGACAGGATCCTGAATGAAGGATAAAACGAAAAGTCAAAAACAAAATTCCACAACCTTCTATCATCTTTACCTTCAAACCTTACCTTGGGGTTTGAATCGATTGGTTGAGAGAGAAGAGTAACTGGAGGACAACGGTCGTCTCTGACACGAAAACATCCAAAGAAACAACCCATCGTCCTGCGAAGAAATTCAACAAATTCAAGCTGAAACAACAAGTATAACTTCAAAACCAGTTTGATAATATTGGTGATCCTCCTGACATGGAAGAACCCTAGTTTTTGTTTTTCAGTTGGGACTTGGGAGATAACGTTTTCCTGATTTTAGAGAACAGACAGAAAACGAGGGAATGGAGATTTCAAATTTTGAAGGCTGATCCCCTGACTTAATACGACATCGTTTCCCATAATCCGACACAATTATTTTTAATTTTTAAGATATACAATAATTAATTTTCCTAATTTTCAAATATTGTGCTAAAGAATCTACGGTGTTGAATGAAACATAAATTTTGAAAGGATAAATTCTAAAAAAACCTAAATTTTTGGAATAAATAAGTTTTTGGATATTTTAAAACTTGTTAAATAATTTTTTGAACCTCTAAAACATGTTATATACATTTTTATAACCTATGAAACTGGTTAATATTGTAAAATAATGTAAAAAGGTTCAAAAAAAAACAATGGACTTTCATATTTTAAATGTTTAAGTTCCTAAACATTTTTTAAACCATAAAAATACTCACATCTATAAAATGAAACAAATATATACTAAAAACTACTTACATTTACAAGAAACTATTGATAAAAATTATTTTAATTAAAAATAAAAAATATTTTGTCAGTGTTTTTCAAATTAAAAAATAAAAAAAATTACTGATTCCATTTATCTTTCATATATAATTTCCCAAATTAAAAAAATAATAAAATTTTATTTTAAAATTATCCAAAACGAAAAAAAGCATGAAAGTGTGTAAAAAAAATTAAAAAATTATTAAAATCAAAAATCAAAACTTAAAATCCTTTAAAAAATTATGTTTACATTCAACAGATTTTTATATTTAAATATTTTAAATTAATTATTTATTAAATTTTTTTATACGTAATAAAATATTGTTCCCTCTTATAAATATTTTATATCAAAGTTTTTTATTTGTGGAAATATAATTAAAAAAATTTGTTTCTCTCTTATTGTAATCATTTTTTATTATGGATAACTTCAAACCCTTTACTTTCTCCATTTTAGATAATCTCTTGGAGTAAAATTTTGCTTCAAATCTACCATCTCTTCATTTTGGATCATTTGTTGGAGATGCTCTAAAAATCTTCAAATTTTAGAGAATCTCCAGCAAATTATCCAAAATAGATAAAATGATGATTTATGGCAAAATTTTAAATCAATTTATTCTCAAAAACTTTCTTCAAAATGGAAAAAAAGTGTGAAAATCTTTAAATTTGGAAATTTTCCAAAAATGATTACTATGAGAAATAAACAATTTTTTATTGTATTTTTTCACCAATAAAAAACCATGATATTAGTTATTTACCAGATTATAATCTATACTATATTATAAAACATTTGATAAAAACTATTTTTTATATATGAAATATTGTTTATTAATATATATTACTTAAAATTTAAGATTACAAGTAAACTGTACGTAAATACAACTTATTAAAGCTCCATTTTCAATTCGTATAACTAACTGTAGATAAAAATAATCATATACAGAATAAACATCTTAGTTTAAATATTAAAAATTTAAACTATAAGTAGGATAATCATTGAGTACTAACATAAGCATTATCTTTATAAAAATTATATTGATAAACCAAAATAAATTACTTCGTTATTAAACCAAAATTAAATTATAATAAAAAAATTTAATTAAAAAAATTGTAACAAAAAAAAAAAACTTTTAAATAGTTTATTTGATATTAAT